ATCTCTGAAAGGCCAGGGCATCAGGCTTATACTTCCCTGGATGGAGCCGCCTTCACTGGCTGCACAGACTGTGGGGAGGCAGAAGTGTCCCTGGCAAGAGTCTAGCTTATCCGAGCTTATTGGAAAGCCTGCTGCCTTTTCCTTCAGACAGAAGCAAACAACCAGCTGCAGACTGCGTGATGGACTATTGAGAGGTTGTGTGTGTGTGTGTGTGTGTGTGTGTGTGTGAAGAAATAGCAAACACAGAAGGAAAAGAGGAAGTGAAACTGAATTTGCCACTCAGAAGCGGATCACTTATGGTTTCTACTTGGGAGAATTTTCTGGGAACTCCCCATGAAGCAATAGCTGCTGTTGTCAAACTGCTCCTGAGTGTCAGAAGGCCTTAAAAAATTTTTTTTTCTGTTGGTACTGGCATTTGAACTCAGGGCTTCACACTTACTAGGCAGGTGCTCTACTGCTTGAGCCTCTATCCCTTTTTACTCTGGTTATTTTGGAGACAGGATCTCACTGTTTGCCTGGGCTGGCCTGGACTAAGATCCTCCTATTTTAAACTTCCTGCCACCACTGGGATGACAGGAATACGCCACCATTCCCTGATTTTTCCCATGGAGATGGGGTCTTGTGAGCATTTTGCCCAGGCTGGCTTGTAAACAGGATCTTCCCTATCTCAGCCTCTCACATAACTAGGATTGCAGGTGTGAGCCAATTTGCCTGGCTGCCAGAAGGCTTTTCTTAAAAGTCCAAGCACCTTCTCAGTGCACTGACCATTTTGCTTCCAAGCCTAGTTTTGTCCTGCGTGGCACCGTTTGACAACTTTTGGTGGTGAGCACTCACTCGGGGAAATCACTGTAGAAGTGTGAAAGGGGACAAGAACCCAGGCTTATTTGCAGTCTCACTAGGTCTTTGCAAACATCTACAGCTCTGTTCCGATAATGAACACAGGCTGAGTGGGACTGGTTTGACTGGTAGGTTAGACACACGCTTTTACCTACTGAACCACCTTGGGGTGTAAATATACAGGGAATAAAAAGATAAGATCATCCTTGTTGTCATGAAGAGCTTACTCTGGTCAGAGGGCAACTATTTTACTTTCGTTACCTCTTTTTAACTTCTAGACAAGCAGGGCTCTTATTGTCCCCTTTTACAGATGAGGAAACTGAGGCTTGAGGAAATCTGATAGCATTCCCACAGGTAAGAGGTGAGAAGATTTTCTCCAACTAGACCCAGAGCCCTCTCGTGGGGCTCAGTGGAGAAGAATGATTCCCCATGCCTGCAGGTTCTGAGATGTCATTTCCTCACCTGAAAATAAACCAACACTCTAATCTAAAACTTGTTCTCTTTCTTCCTTCCCTGCCACAAGAGAAGATTACCCAGGAGACCTGCCAGGTCCCTGCTTGAAGGTCCTGAGGTGGCAGTCACTGTGGAAGTTGTGTCAGGGATTAAGAGAAGGCCCTGTAGCCATCTTCCCTATTTTTCTTTTACTGAAGCAAAGCACTTCAACCTGCCTGTGGTCTACACTACAGAATACAAAATACAGAAAGTTCAAAGGAATACAGATTTGTCTGTGCAGGGTTGACGAGGAGTCAACACCAGCGAATTCCTAACTCTACACTTCAGAGGAGTGTGACACACTGTCTCTTCCCAAGGACGAATCCTTCAAAGGTACATTATAAGCAGAATCACCACAAAATCGTCCTAAAACCGTTATGCATTTGATATAGCAAGAGCACTTCATCTGTCGGGAACATCACCATTAACAACCTAAAATGAAAGGCTCATCGGCCGGTGTTATTTCAACACCACAATGGCTTTTTCCTGTTTTCTACCATTGGCATTTATTTCTTTTTCCTCTACAGCAAATTAAGCTCACGAGTCAGCAAGGCTTCTCCTGTTCCAGTTATGCAGGTAAAAACTTGAAAATCAAGAGGCTCACTCAAGCCTCTTAAGTATTTTACCCTACAGGCAGTGCGCCTGTGGGACTGGATGGGACACAGAGCAGATGTTTGTCCTCTTTGCACCAAAGGGTCAGGCAGGGCATGGTGCACTTGACAATAGCCGCCTCCTGTTCTCATCACTCAGCTCGTAGGCCGAGAATCGGTGATTGTCTGTGGCACTGACCATCCTTTCTACATGACAAAGGCTTCATGGCAATACAGGTGTGCCGAGAGGTTTCTGGTTCTGAGATGTCTTGTCCATCCACAAACAGACCCCTCTCTTTCCACTACAGAAGGACTTCCTGGGCGCGGTGCACCCTGCCAGGCCTACCTCGGTTTCTCTTTCTTGGGCAGCTATGGAATTACACCTTCTTCATCTCCCTTGAAGAAGGGCTTGCCACCAGCTGTGTGATCAGCTGAGGGTCCCACGTGGCCACAGCCTCTAGGGCCTGGTTCTACTTCCAACTGAAAACTTCGTTCTTTCAGGTAGCCAGTGTCTAGTGGCTGAGGGAGGTGGTACAAAAGCTTTGTTTGACCAAATGAAGTGAACTCTTGACAAGCCATGCTTGTTCCACAGCTCCCCACCAGGTGGGCAGAGGCCTTGGCAGGACCACCTGAACTTTTATTTTCTTTCACAACCTCATAAATATCTTCTTAGCACTGATGTCAGAAGACCCAACCTATGACACCCTCCCACTCAGGCCTGCCTCTCTCTAGCACCTTCCAAGCAGCCTCAAAGACACCTTCTGGTACACAGAGGATGTTTAGAGACTTCACAACCAGGAGGCAAGCACCAGAAACCAATTCTACAAACTCAGAAAGTTCTAGAAGAACTGTCTTTGAGACAAGCTAGGTAGTTGAAAAAAGCTCTTTTTTGACCTTGAAAATTTCAGCCTGTAATACAAGATACCCTCCAAACATGCCATCCCATGGAAAGGGAGGCCAGTACAGGATGCAGGCCACAGCACCGACTATGCCCTACCTATAACCATCTGGCGCAGACTCAGCTAAATGACACTTGTCTGGGATCAACCTCATGGCCCAGCACTGTAACAACCACATCCAGCATATCAGAAGTAGAAAATAAGATGAGATTAATTTACCATTTCAGACCTTTGTTGTCCCTGTTTTTTTTTTTTTTGTTTGTTTTAAATTATCACCATTCCTGCTATGGACCCCAGAGAACTAGCTCACCCTCATGGCATGACAAGATGGAAGATGCCATCCATGAGGAAGCAGGCCTCCAGGCCTCACCTGACACTGAATCTGATGGCACTTTGAACTTACACTTCCTAGCCTCCAGAGTCGAGAGAAAGAAGTTTATAGAATTTTTTTTATAGCAGCTCGGATATACTAAGATAATTTGTCTCCCTCAAATGGCAAATTAAAAGGAAAATTTTTGAAGTTTTTAAAAGTTGTAAGTTGAGAAAAACCCTTTATCCTTCCGAAAGGACAAAGTTTAATAACCTGCTGACTCTGTTGCTCTTGAAACCCCAAAAAGGTGGCACATCAGCTGTTTCTAGGCAACTCTAGAAGGATGTCCTTGCCGGGCCTGGAAGGCCCTATGTATAGACACCTGATGGAGAGAGAGCCCATGCTGGGGGCTTCCCTGAATGTGGTGACCCTGTAACTGGACATGTCCCAGGTGGAGTGTGAGGCTTTTAGGACAAGGTGGATCCTCTGTGCACCAATGTTGGAATCACTCCTTTGCACCTGAGATATCCCTAGGAAGGGCAAAGAACACTGGATTGGGACCAGCTGTGTGGACCTGGGGAAGGACCACACCCACTAAAGAGGATGGATCCCTGATGCCCGGCTGGTCTTTGATGTCCTGGTCCCATCTCTTCTCAGAAGAAAGGTTTTAATGGAGCCCCAGAAGAGCACACCTGGCAGGTAATGGTCAGAGAGTTACCCGGTAAAGATCTAGACCTTCCAGAAGCTCCTTAATTCTACAGAATGTAAATTTGTAAAGATTTTGGAGGAAAGGTTGGAGTTCTTTTTCTGATTGATTACAGCTATTCTATTGGAAGAAGGAAGGAAGGAAAGAAGGGAAGGAGGGAGGGAGGAAGAAAGGGAAGAAGGAAGGATGGAATGGTAGACCTGGAAAACCATAACTACTTAGTTATTTGGTGCAGAGAAATACTAAATAAAAGGTGTGCATGCATTTAATCCATACTGATCTGGAGTCATACATAGCATTTTAAGACAACACCAAAATTGAGTTGCTGTGTAATTCCATTGCTAAGAAACCCATTACAAATTTAGAGTCATGGCATCATAGAATGCTATGTAAGGCATGATTGAAGGTAACCATTGACAGAGCATCACACAGAGAGAAGTGAGGGACATCCAAAGCATGCAGAAAACCCAGTGTCAGATCTAGAAGGTTCCCTCACAGGACAGGCATGCATGCATTTGCACACTTTGTGTTACCTTGCATCGCAGGATTGTGAACACCAAATAAATGATCTTTATGATAACCTTTATTACCATTTTCCATGCTGTAACAGAAATAAATACACCAAGAACACCAGGTTACCTGCTGAAGTGTTTACGTCATGGTTCACAAAGACAATGAAATGGTTCTGAGGAGCACAGGACAGCGTGGTAAAACTGCCGAGGCGGTGAAAGGGTGTTATCGACATTTATTTCCTTTCAAAACCAAAGGCACAAATGACAACTTCATGGATGAATAAATTTAACACATGAAGTGTTCATCCATCCCACAGATGTTTGAGGCCTTTGCGCCGACCCTCTTTATAAGAGGCGTCACAGTTTATCTTTACCTGGACATACCTATTATTTTATGTAATTTTAAGATGTCATTAATTTAATTTTGAAAGTCCATCATATAATAAACCAGCCCCACTCCATTTATGAATATAGTTTAAAAAAAAGGCTTACTTTTTCATGGGTACAGTCTCAACACTATAAAACATAAAAAGGGAAGACAGTTATTTATTTTTTTGTTACTACGAAGGCTCAACAGCTATGTCCCCCACACTTTACTCCACTACAGGTGATGATAGCACAGATTTCACAGAAAGAAATGCTAAGATGAGCGAAGTGAAAATGAAATGGACACTCAGCAGATACAGAGCAAAGGGCAGACCGCAGAGCCAACGCGAAAAGTAGTAACAAGAGTTATCATAAAGTGAAATGCCAAGTCCCCGAGAGAGAGCTGCTGCAAACAAGAAGTAGGAATGCCTGTTAGGAAGCTGAGATTAAGCAAGAGGGGAAAAAATAGAGTAAATATAAGAAAATCAGTAAAAACAAACAAAAAGAACAAAACACCACCTGAATAAGAGTGATCCAAAACTTAAAATAAATAAGCCAAGTTTGGTCTCATCAGAGCCCATCTTTATCAACTCTCTAAAGACAGTGCTACATAGAAAACAACCCCAGCCTCCAAGGACGGTCCCATACTCACTCGTCATACACATCCTCCGAATCCATTCGCCTGTAGTACTTGGCCAACTTTACAGCAAAGACGACAGCCAGAAGTAAAAGCACAACAGCTTTTCCTATGCCAAACCAGAACAAATTCTGGGGAAAAAATATCAGAAAATTAAGAGCTTGAAGATGGGAACTGGAAAATAACAGGTACCAGGTTGGCGGAATGGCTCATGTGGTAGAACACCTGCCTAGCACGTGTGAAGCCCTGAGTTCAAACCCCAGTGCCACCGGAAAAAAAAAAAAAGAAAATAACAGGTACTTGGGGAGGGGGATTTTTTTTTTGCAATTTTTTTAAAGTGAGTTTTCATTTTGCTCTTTAAAATCATTTGTGTACCTAATATGAATCAGCCATTAAGTATGACAATATTATTATAAGTCAGTTAGTCTTCGGGAAAACCTTGAGTAGATCCTATTATACTTTGTAAAACAGGAACAGAAGCCACTGGTGAAACAGATCTAACCCAGGACACTCTAAAACTATGTCTAGCCATGCAGCCTCCCTTTGCTGCCCAACTGTTTAACAAAGAACATGGCTGGCTGGCAGGTTCAAGTTTAAGTCCCTTGCATGAGTTGTTTGATGTTAAATGACTGATTGACTTTTCTGGTATTGTTCTGCACTTGAAGAGGTGAGGCAGCAGCATTGTCACTCCCTGACATTGTTGTGTCAAGAGGGCAGAAGCAGCTGAGTGGCGTGGCTCATGTCTGTATTTCTAGCTACTCAGGAAGCAGAGATCGGGTGATGGTGGTCCACAGCAAGTCTGGGCAAAAAGTTCAAGAGACCCCGTCTCAGCCAATTAAAAAAAAAGCTGCGCATGGTGGTATGTACCTGTCATTCCAGCGAGATGGGAAGCATATAAGAAGATCACGGTCCAGGCTGGCCAAGGAAAAACATATTACATATTTTTCAAATATGTAAAGAGAACAGGGACAAAGCCCACATGGTAGAGCACCAGCCTAGCAAGTGCAATGCCCTGACTTCAAACCCCAGTAAGACAGAAAAGAAAGAAGGAAGGAAGGAAGGAGGCAGGGACGGAGGGAGGGAAGGGAGGAAGGGAGGAAAGGAGAGAAGAAGGGAGGAAGGGAGGGAGGAAAGGAAGATGGAAAGGATAGAAGCAAAAGGGTCTCAATGATTGCTCTGTTTTTCACTTAACCATCCCAAGGCAGCACCTTACACTTGGCCTGCTTTGCCAGCCTATGACCTCCAGGTTCTAAAGCAGGTTCAAGAGTGAGGCCCGCCCCCACCCTGGATAACAGAGCAGTGGTCCCGCAGCACCTCTCCTCAGGGCCCTGACGCAGATGCTGACTTACAGCAGCTGCCCAGTGCCTCCACTTGGCCTGTGTGTCTGCTTTGTTCCTGGCTGAGTTCAGTGTCACATCTTGGTGGCACCTCTCTGGCCTTTAATTTCTGGTAAATGTCCTTCCGTCCATGTTCTTTTATTAGTAGATTTCTATGTTTTTGACCTTGCTTAGAGAGGCTTTGGAGCACTGTGACAGCATCACCCTTTTTCTGGAGGCTGCCTCAGCCCTTCAGGGAATGATCGAGATAAAGAAAGACACACGTTGGTTAGCCTGTAGCCTTATCTGCTGGTGAAGCAAATGACCAGACTCTTCCTTACTCTTTAAGCCACGAGCTGCAGCCTGTGGCCTCCCTGAGCACCCTGTAAGTGTCCTTCATCTGTCCCCAGTTATTTGCAGGGAGGCAGCTGAAGTCAGGTGAACTGACTGGCTTATGGTAGGGAGGGAGGATGGATCCAGGAGGGGTGTGATTCAGCATGCAGCCATGAACCCAGGAGGCTGACTCGTTCGAGAAGCTGCCAAGCACAGTACAAGAGGGGTTAAGAAGTTCCAAGAAGAGAAAAGCAGGCAGGCAGCCAGGACCCAGCGTCTGCATGGTCATGAGAGTGGTGGGATCATTTCCAGTCAGACATGCGAGGCCACCAATGGACAGACACACCCATGACCGAGGAGATGGTAAAGGGACGGCCAGAGCAACCTGGATGTGCCCGGATGAAGAGCTAGCTGACGTCCTTCACCCATTCTACAGGAGAGCTCTGTGCCAGGCAATGTGCCTGGTGATGGGGACACAGCAGCAAACATATACAGGCCCTCCACTCATGGGGTTCAGCATGGTGTGTGCTGGGGGACAAATTTTACTGAACCCCACAAATATATAATTCAACAGCAGAAATGTCTCTCCAGGAAAAATTCTGTGTGAATGTAGGAAAGGGAGCCCTGTAATTAGATGATTAGAAAATCTTTCCTGGAAAAAATAGAACAGAGACCTGAAAACTGAACAACCAATAATAGTGAGCGGTATGGTGTGCGGTATGGATGAGCGGTATGCGGTATGGTGAGCGGTACAGGATGAGGAACTTCTCATGTCATCTCTCATTGAATTGTCAAAGCAGATCCTTTTAGTTGATGAGGCCCAGAGAATTTCAGTAAGTTTTCAAAGTCACAGAGTTCAGAAAGTGTACAAGTGGAATTTAAATTCTGAGTCCACGTAACCATTATGTTACAAGACCTGGAGGAGTCAGCATAGTAGGGGAGAGAGAGCCAGTTCAGGCAGAGGACATGGTATGTGGAAAGGTCCTGAGGGAAATCAAGGTGCATCTGAGGACGTGAAAGAAAACGAGTGTCTGGAGCATAGGGAGAGAGGCGAACCAATGGCACAAAATGAGGTCTAGGTGGGTGGGGGAGCAATCGTGGGCTACTGTGTCCTGTAAAGGACCCTAATTTTTTTTTTTGGCAGCACTGGGGTTTGAACTCTGGGCTTCAGGCTTGCTAGGCAGGTGCTCTTACCACTCCACCAGCCCTTTTTCATGATAGGGTCTCATGAACTATTTTCTGGGGGCTGACTTCGAATCACAGTCCTCCTGATCTCTGCCATCCGAGTGGCTCAGATTACAGGCCTGAGTGTTTATCATGGTAGAAACAAAGTTACTGAGGCACTTTACGCAGAGGAAGTGAGATGATGGGCTCATGGAGAGTGTCAGTGCGTATCCAGGAAGGAAAAGAGCTGAAGAATAAACCTGACTAACCAGAGCTCACCACGCTGACAGTCACATCTCAGAGGGCGTTGGAATCAAAACGTGGGTCCAGTGTATCCTCGGGTTGTACAGCTGCACTAAGAACCTTTCTAATGCCTCTTTCTGACCATTCCAGACAGAGGTTTTCTTCACGCATGTCTCCTGACGTCCATAAATGTAATTTTGGATATGCAACTAGGACTTGGGCTTTTCTACTCCATTAGGTATCTTAACACATTGATTTAAATTTTATTTTTAACTTTTGTTTGTTTTTGAGATAGAGCCTTCCTACATTGCCCAGGCTGGCCTCCTACCTGTGATCCTCCTGCCTCAGCATCCTGAGTAGCTGTGATTATAGCAGTATGCCACCATACTTGGCTAAATTTTAGATTTTAGATTCTAAAACCAGAACAAACCTGAGCAGGACACTAATATCACAGTGTGCATTACAATCTGGATTAAAAAGTTCAAGATGAAGGGTTCATGAGTTTTTTTAGATTATAGCCTGTTTTTTAAAAGATGATGGTCTTACCAGTGGGTTAACAATGTAGTTACACAGAATGACCCCAATCGCAGAGTCCAGGGCGGTGGCCACAGGTTTACAGGATGCTATTTTCTCAGTGATCTAAGGGAAAAGAGACATGGGCAAAGTCTGAGCCACACTCATGAAAATCTGCACTCATGAGACGTGTCATTTACCTCTGGTCTGGGGTCCCGTAAGACACGGGACTCACAGCTGGTTCACACAGATGGGTTCTACTGCACATAAAATTATATACTTCAGAGCAAGCCCTTGCTTCCTGAGCACTGTGCCTCAGTTTCCAGTTCCCTCATTTGTTATCTGGAACAATCTGCCGCCTCCCCCCCCCCACAACGTACACACTCAGCAGGATTGCTGGGGGAATTAAACTAGGGCTTCCAGCCTAATTTTTACGTGACCTCTTTGCCATGAGATATGACAAAAGTGACCAAAGGGACAAGAGGGGCTCTGAGGGGGCATGTCCTCCCAGCTGGGGGCTGGCCCCAGAGGTCTTATTCCTACCCTTCCACTTACCTGCAACCAAACTGCTGCAAATTAATCTTGTTTCCTCTAGCTTTTACCCTGGAAAATGACTCTCCTAAATATGGTCCCCTTTATGGCCAAAAAAAAAATGATCTACTTACAGAGAACTCAACCCACTGTAGATAATGTTCAAAGTATCCTATTATTGTTCTCCCAAAATTCCTAGTCTCCTAGAAAGAAATCAAAGATTGGTCAAGCCACTAAAATGACTACAGCAGAAATTAAATGCTATAAATATTTAATTATAGAACATTTACACATCCACTTATCAACATGCTTATTTTAAAAAGGAAAACTTACTTCAAAAATAATAGAAGAAATATTATTTGTGACGAAGTTCTGAGCAGAATCCAAACAGTAAAGGATCTTGGACACTCTCTCCTGGAAAACACAGCAACAGGAGATGATCCCATGACAAAAGGATTAGACAATTATTATTATTTTTATTATTGTTGTACTGGGGGTACATTGTGACATTTACAAAAGTTCTCACAATATATCATAGTTGAATTCACCCCTCCATCATTCTCTCTAACCCTCTTCCCCCAGGATTAGACAATTTACAGATCATGTAGAGTTCCTAGGGAGATTGGTTCCAGGATCCCCACCCCTTCCCCATTCCAAAATCTGCAGACGCTCATCCTTACATCGTATGCTGTGATGTTTTCATATGGTGTGATGTTTTCTCGTGTATTTCAAATATCACCCCAATACAACATTATCATACCCAATACAACATAACTGCTGTGTAATGTTGTTACACTGCATGATTTAGGGAATAATGGCAAAAAAGTCTGTATACATTTGATACAAACATCAAATACTTTCAATCTGTGCTTGGTTAAACCCACAGATGCAGAACCCATGGTTATGGATAACCAACTGTCTAGTGACCCAGGTCCACAACACACAGCCTGGCCCAGCCCTCTGAGGGCAGGAAGAGTTGAGGAATTCTGATGGAACATGAACTTTGGGGCCAGACAGTGGGCTAGACCCTCTATAGGAAATCACCTAACTGCATATTCACAGCAAGGCTGGAAGGAGGGTACTGCTAGGCTCCCTTTAGGGAGGCAGCTGACCTCTTCAAGGTGACCAAGCTGGGAAGCATAGAAGAGTACTGGAATTTGCACCTAGTTTTTTTGCTTGTTTGTTTTCTTTTTCAACTCCAAAACCAACACTCTTTGCACCATCATACAAAGTCAAGGCTACTGCAAACCCCCACAGCAGCTTGGTACAAATAAAGAACAGGGGCTCCTTTTGTCCAGAGACTGTGGGGAACAGTGAGCAAGTGGATTGCAGCCAAGTTCTACTCCCTAAGCTAGGCCATGCCCCATGAAGAGTGGCATGTCTTGCCCTGATCGTCAAGGTGCAGAGAGGTAGAAAGGACCTGTAGTCACCAGTGTATCTCCAGATTCCCGTGGCATGGGACACGCATACTTGTGAAATGGAACTGTGATTAGAGATATAAGGATGGCCCCAGAGTTGAACTAAAGATACCCATCTTCAGAGGACATCTTCAGAGGAACTGAGTCATGTGTTGGTCTTGCTGAGAAGCATGAAGGGAGGAACATTTAGGTTTTTACTGTGAGGCTTGTATCCCAAGTCTCTCATGGGCAGCTTGTTCCAGCCAATAAAGAAATCTTTTGGAGAGCTGGGTGTGGTGGTGTGCACCTGTGATCCCAGCTACACAAGAGGCCACAGGTAGGAGTATCGGTCCCAGGAAGACTGGGTAAAAATGGGAGTCCCAGCTAGGCGCTGGTGACTCACACCTGTAATCCTAGCTACTTGGGAAGCTGAGATCAGTAGGATCATGATTCAAGGTCACCTGAAGTGACCAGATGTCTCCACCAATGATGTTTTTGTCTTGTCAAGTGCCTAAAAGCAAAAAGACAAGTGACCATGGACTGAAACCATGAGCCAAAGTAAATCCTTCCTACTTTAAGTTGATTTGCTCGAGTATTTGTCACAGTGACAGAACACTGACTAACACACTTCCACTAAGAGCACATGAGGTGGCCCAGACAGAAGCTGCCCCTGCGGGAAGGTCTCTGATGGGCAGATACGTAGAGAAGTCTGTGGTCAGCCCAGCAAAAAAGTGATTGAGTGTGGTTGTTTGTCAGACAGCATTAGCTCTGAAAAAGTGACCAGTGTATCTTCTAACCTTGCATCTTAGCAGCTTACATACCAAAATGGATTTCCTCTGTGTATCTCCTGCTCAGAGGAAGCACGCATTTTTAGAAGTACTTATTGAAGGGAAGTAGTAGGAAAAACCAGTTTGATAATTAAAATGGCTAGATTACTGAGAGTTTTTTGTTTGTTTGTTTTTACTTAAACTACTTATACAAACCAACAGCTTGGAATATATATATGTGCGCATGTAGCATTTGAAAATGGAACCCCGTCACAGAAAACCAAAATGGATCCATACCGGTAATCCGCTGCTCATTTGCTGAAGTATCCTGATGCATTGTTGTAAAGTGCTCTGGTGAACAAATAGATATTTCCAAAATTACACAGAGCAGCAAGGTCCCACACTTGTATCCTCCCCTTCCCCAAGACAGCCATCAAATCTGACCTTACGTAATGGTTTCATTCTAGAAAAAGTGACAAACACAAGTAACAACGGGTACCTTATGTGCCACTAGTGTGTACAAAAACCTGAAGAAAAAAATCAGGACACATATTCAAGGTGTCCAAGAAATCACGTGAATTAATTTTGATCAGTGAAAAGCATTATTTAAAAAACGTCTGCCCAGTAAGTGAGGTTTACCAGAGGTAAATGACCTAAATGGTCAATGTCTGGGCAGCAAACCTTACCTGTAAAAGGCCAGACAGTAAATACTTAGGCTTTGGGGCCATAGCCTGTCCCGACTGCTTGACTTTGCCCCGAGGGCCAAGAGCAGACACTGACAGTTTGTAAATGAATAATGTGGCTGTGTCCCCATGAAACTTTATTTATAAAAACTAGCAGCAGGCTTCATTTGGTCTCCAGACTGTGCTTGCCACCCCCTGGTTTAGACCATAGATCATAGGTACAAAACAAATTGTCTTTTGTGGACAGGTTGCCCCAGGTCTAAAAAGGCCAAAGAGAACCGTCTCCTTGAAGACAAGCTTTTACAGAAAATGCAAAACCATCTTAAAATGAACTGTGATGAGTACAGCACAGCAGCACAAGGATTCAAAACACTGAACAGGAAGACTGTGAGACACCAATGAATCCAGAATTAGAGGAGAGAGGGAGAGAATGAACTAGATCCAGAAGGTTGGATGTACTTGCATGCATTTGCAAACCTGAGCAGGTGACCTAGTGACCCAGTACAATTCTCCCCTTGATAGCTGCAAATGGGACCCCCCACAAGAATAAGAATCTCCACAAGCCAGATATTAAAAACGCAGGAATCACCTGCCCCTCCCCATTACCTTTACTTTGTATTTCCTTTGATTTTATTTTTAGATGAGGAAACTGAAGGCTATCACACTTTGGAGAGGCAGATCTGTCTGACTCCAAAGCCTTTGTTCTTTCTCTGCTACAAGCTGCCTATGTAGCACTAAAGAGAGAAGCCAGAAGGCCAGAAAGTGGACAGGGATGGAAGCGAGGAGGAAGGAAGCAGTGGCCATGGAGATGGACAACAGAGGATACAGGAAGAAAAGCACTTACCCTTGCCTTCACATATTTCTAGGCAGAGTTTGGAGAGAAAGAATTGAGAACACGTGAGAGTGTGCCCAGAGCAAAATCACCACTGTGCAAACACATGGCTCAGGAGGCCTGGCAGCACAGACACTGGAGCCAGGTGCTGGAGATGGCACAGCTGGGTCTCACTGCTCACACACAGGAAAAGGAGGGAATGAAAGCAGGGGTGGCACAATGTAGCTTTTGTGTTCTTTTAAGGCCCAGCTCAATTTCTGGGGCTGAGGCCAGGACGGTACCTCCATAAGGTGAGCAAGTGTCTTCAGGCTAAATGAAAGTCAACTGAGGGACAACGGATTGTCTCAGGTTACAGTGACATGCATGGTGGTGATAGTTACCAGAGATTGCTCCATAGGAAGGACTTGCTGCTGGTGAATATTTCTAAGAGTTTGTGCATCTGCTTTCAAGGACTGTTTCAAGTTTTCTGAGGTCTACAAAGAGAAGAAAATAAAGATCTCCACATCTGTCCAGACTCCAACCACAGAGGCCCCAGCAGACGCAACGTAAGAACACGGTCCCCCTTGGACAATGATGGCAATTCCTCACACTCACGAGCCCTCCCTGAGAGTCAGAGGCTGTAGTCCCTCTTTCTCTGCCTCACCATGAGAAAGTCACTGCCAGATTCCTCGTCTTGTAGATGGAGGAAACCAAGTCCCAACCCACAATTAAGGTGTCTGGAATATGAACTCTAATAACTCCATGAGGTAGGCACTATTGCCCGTTTTACAGATTGGGAAACTAAGGCACAGAAGGGTGAAATACTTTGCTCAAGCACCTCCTAAAAGGAAGAGGCTGAGTCAGGATTTCAGCCCGGGTCTTCTCCAGAGCCCAGGTTCCTTGTTGCCATGGTTATCTGCTTCTTGCAAAGAGGCAGTTAAGGCCACATAGTCACCAACCAGCAGAGGAATAGATGGAGGGGCAGTTAATGGGCTCCAATGGTGCCTCTCTCCTCCCAAATCCACTTACTACTGTGATGCAAAGCACCATGGGATTTTTCTCCCACATCTTCAGTTACCATTCTCTACACTGCAAGAAAAATGGTGAGTGTGTGTGTTCTGGGTGTGTATGTGTGTATGTGTATATATGTGTGTGTGCGTATAGGTGTCTATGTGTATGTGTGTCATATGTGTGTGTATGTGTGTATATATGTATGTGTGTGTTAAGAGGGGGTGAAGGGGCTGACAGGGGTGAAAGCAGACCTGGAGTTAAAAGCATAGTGGGAACGTCTAACACACACCAGGGAGGCGCTGTGACACAAGGGTAAAGCCGAGGTGCCAGGAACCTCTTCAACAGTTGGCCAAGCAATGGGTGGACATTTGACACCCACAGCTGGAACAACATTTAATGGAACTGTCTGAACTCACCAAACGGTTTGCTTTTGCTTCTAGATCATTTGAAAATGATACAAGATTCACTTTTACAGGGGATTTATCAGCCTGCAAAAGAGGTAAGGGAACTGTGTTACACACATGGGATTTTTTAAATCTTAACAACATCTTAATCACATAGGCAAGTGATTGACCACGGATGCTTAAGCTGGAAACTTTTCACATAGGTAACACCACCTTCATTTTTATTTACCATACTATTTTCACACAACCATAAAAAGAGTGAAATACCGATACAAGTTATGACATGCTCAAAAACATGTTCAGTGAAAGAAGCTGGACATCCAAGGTCACCCAAGTATGATTCTACTTATGTGCCATCTCCAGCATAAGTAACTCCAGAGTGGGTGGTTGCCAGGTATCTGGGAGAATGGGGAGCACATCTAATGGATACAGCATTTGCTTTGGGGTGATGAAAATGTTTTGGGACCAGGTAGTGGTAGTAATTTGTGACACTGGGAATATAGCAAATGTCACTAAGTTGTTGATAGAGATATTTGATACATTGTAAGAACTTTTGTAAGTGCCACAATTTCCCCACCCAGCTCAACAATAAAGAAAAAAAAATTGATCAACCGAAAAAAAATGGGTAATCTTATGTGAATGTACTCTCATTTGAAAAACAAAAACAAAATCCATGCCTACAATCCTAGCTGCCTGGGAGGCTGAGATCTGGAGAATTGCAGTTCAAGGTCAGCACAGGCAAATGGTTTGTGAGACCCCATCTCTAAAATAACCAGAGCAAAACATGGACTGGAGGTATGGCTCAAGCAGTAGAGCACCTGCTTTGCAAGCACAAAACCCTGAGTTCAAAAACCCCAGTCCCACCAAAAACAAAAACAAAAACAAAATACATGTGCAATACTCTAATTTGTCCCAAGGTCACACATGCACACCTGTGTCATACCTGAGCCAAGTAGGTGGTATAGTTTATTTTGTCTATCCCACAAGTAGCAAAATCCTGGAGGTTTTTAATTCCTGCTGCATCCAGCAGCACAATGTTATCAAGAGTGAAGTTCATATTTTCAAATTCACTGATTATGTTTCCAGTGTGCTGCATGAAACAAGTTATAGGGCAATCCATTACGCTCTAAAAATGTCACATACTTAATGCTTTAAGGCTCAATAAAAATATACAGGAGAAAAAGAAAATACAACTGCACACACTTGACTGGCCTTTCTTCCTTCCCTGCCTCTCCTCTCTGCCTGTTTGCATCCCAAGGCAAGGACTCTTCCGGGAGGATGCCAGGCAGGATAGGATTCTATCTCTACTCTGGAAGACTTCGAAGGCAAGAGGCTGTGTCATAAGGAAAGCAACTGAACCCCATCAGGACACGAGACAGAGAGGACTCAAAGGAAGGAGAGTGGAAGGATGGTACTGTGATGGCTCTGAGCCCAGCCTTTACAGAGATGCTGAAAGGGGCAGGGCAGGCTGGCATTCCAGGGAAGGGGTCAGCATACCAAGGAGCTGCGTATAGGAAGACCTGGCAGATATCTTCTGCACAAGTATTTACTTTGGTAAAGATCATAGGAATGTGCGTTGGTCTGGGGTTGTCCTAACAAGCAGACGATCGTTTCAGGCAGTGTGGTGTACCTGAGTGTCCTGATGGCACTCTCAAGTGCTGCCCAGCACAGCACAGAGACGGTGAACCTTGTCATGATGGGCAAAGGAGTAGAGGAATATAGTTAGGATTTGGTCACAAAATTATGTTGTATTTATGGACATACAATGTCCATTTATTTAGGGAAGATAATCAATACAAAATTCATATATAACTCTCAAATAAAAACTGTTCACATGGCCTTCCAGGAGGTCTCAGTGGACAAGATGTAGGGCTTGAGGGGTAACCTAATCCCTTGGTACTGCTTGGGATCTGCTCATCCTGGAAGACCAAAAGAGGATTGGGGCAGTCTAGACGAATGCACTCCTGACCTGGACAGTAGAAACTCTGTTTCTTCTGTCCAGTGTGCTTTGGAGTGGCCTTGCCTCAAGAGACTCAAGACTGGGGTATGGGAAGGAAGAGACGTCATTTTATTTCTGCTGCCTCCTTCCTTTCTGCTTCTTAGCAAGTTTCAGCAGAGCTCACCAGAGCCCACCATGGAGTCCTGGGGCCACACTGTGGACCCTGTGCCTAATTTCCAACTCTGGGACTTGGCAGAAAAGGAGGACTAGTCTTGGGGACCAAACTCCTTGGAAAGAAAGTGGGGTTTATTCCTAGAGGAACATGTGTGCTCTGGGAAATGAAATCTCTCCCGGGGAAGTGTCATAAGTGAGGCTCCATTAGAGACTCTTTATCTACTAGAAAAACTCAAGTTGCAAGAAAGACAACTGATTGCGGGTGCTAAAATATTTGGAGTTAGATAAAGGTGAGGATTGAACAGCATTTTGAATATATTAAATCTCACTTTAAAAGACTTAATTTGTCCTTATGTGGATTTCACATTGGTGTTAAGAAAAAGAAAGAAAGACAACTGGATTTTGTAAAACTGTATGTCAAGTCTGAGACCACTCCTAAGGACTCACCTCCTGGATGCTGAGATGCTCACTGACATTGTAGAGGTTCTGAAGCTGAAGTGTGGCATAAATACCCCTATCTTTTTTGCAATCACTATGGGAAGAAACAGAGAAGTCAAGACCTAGAAAAAGTGTGGCTACCTGCTAAGGATGAGGACAGAGGTTAACTGATTCTCGCTGTGCAATCTGTGAACAAACGAAAGTGTTCTAGATATCACCTATGGCCACACAAACGCTGGCATCAGCCACTCCTGACTTCTTTCCCTGCTTTGCTAACTGTCCCATTTTTGGAACACAGGCATCAGGACTTATGAACACATCCTTCCATCTATATCCTTTGTTCTGTTTCCTGTATTGCTGTGGTCAAGTTCACAAATTAGGAATAAAAATACTTCTCATTTAAAGAGTAAAAATGTGGGTTGGAGATGCAGCTCAGTGGCAGAGCACTTGCCTAGCATGTGCAAGGACCTGGGTTCCACCCCCAGCACTGCAAAAAAGAAAAGAAAAAGAAATACAAAAATGATACCTACTAGAAAGAAGTGCATTACATTTATCATGGTCTTTATTAAAGGTTCCATTGGGCTGGAGGCATGGCTCAAGTGGTAGAGTGCATGCTTAGCAAGGGTGAAGCCCTAAGTTCAAACCCCAGTACCTCAAGAAAGCTGGGCACCGGTAATCCTAGCTACTTGGGAGGATGGTGGTTCTAAGCCAGCTCAGGCAAACCATTAGTGAGATGGGAGACCCCACTCAGTGGAAAAAAGAGTTGGGTATGCTGGCATGTGCCTATCATCCTAGCTATGGTGGGAAGCATAAACAGGAGGATTGCAGTCCAGGTCAGTCTGGGCAAAAAGTGAGATCCTGTATCCAAAATAACCAGAGCAAAAAGAGCTGGAAGCATGGTTCAAGTGGTAGAATGCCTGCCTAGCAAGCACAAAGCTCTGAGTTCAAATTCCAGTACCACAAAAAAAAAAAAAGGAAAAATCCATCAAATCCCCACCAAGACCATTTCCCCTGTGTATCTCCAGGGTTGGGTTTCACTGATAAACATGTGCTTAGATATCTAATCTAAGAGTGAGGATGGTGACAGGGGCTCAGACATCCAGATGCTCAGTCCAGTTTGTCTATAAACCTAACTCAGCCACCCCAGTGAAATGGCCTCACTTCCATGTCCCTTGGGCTAAGTAGAGTGGGTCTCATCGGATGCATATTTCTGTCACAAAGAGAGCCACACCCCTGGGGGACCTCCCCATACCAGAGCAGCCAGTGCCCTCTGATCTTGAGGGAGGCTTGGAAAAGCGACCTCCCACATTCCTAGATGTGACACTCTTTCCAGGGAACAAGTAAGTGGTAGAGTTGGGACCTGGAGCTCGATGCACTAACAAAGGAAAGGCTGGAGGGTTCTGTAGGAGCCAGAGTCACAAAGAGCTAGCATGGCAGGCCAAGAAGCTGGGCATTGTCCTCTCAGCCTGGGGACCCAGACAACCTTAATTATGCACAGAAATTGAGAGTCTGCCCAGAGCTAACAGTTGAGAAGAATCCTGACACATGCTGGGTTACATTGAAGACCACAGTTGTCACCAACTGCCTTGAGCATGGGCTGTGGGGGTTGGTGGTGGGGAGGAGGGGGCCTTGGTTGTGGCTCACCTGCGCCCTCTGCTGGTGGCAATGGGGGAGTGCTGAAATTTTGGAAGTGACCTACAGTCCCAGACTAGAGAGTGGAAGGGGAAGCAGGGGAGTCAGTTGTGAACAGGGAGAGGACACAGCTTTAGGAGAGATTTCAACCATAACAACATCTAAAAGTAACGTTTATAAATGCTGGGTTTTGGAAAAAAAATTCATTCTGAGTGTTGTCATGGGGGCGCAGACACTCAGTTTTCACTGCCTTGGACTGCATAATCAAATCCAAATACTTTGTGCTTGATCCCCAAGTGAGAATGGGATGTCTAGAAGCTCTCAACGACAGCCTTCTGCTTCCTACCTCCCTCCTTTGGCAGGGATCTCTTTTTCCTTCTTTACGGAGCCAATCCCTTAGGAAACCAGCTCAGGTACATTTCCCATGCTACATCAGATACCTTCCTCCAAGCTTCTGCTTAAGTCTTTCCACCTGTGCAGTACCGCCCTGTTCTAGAACACTTCCTTATGGACCTGTTTCCCTACCAGATTTTCCTTGACAGCAGGACCAGGGTCTAATTCAGCTTTGGATGATATCCACCAGCTACCCCCCAAGCACTTGTTGTTCTCATATAATGATAATAATGAAAGTACCTACTGTAGGTACCTAGCTCATAGCATTAGGCGAATGACAGGAATTATTTATACGAAGTTCTTCCATCAGCCCTGGCACACAGTAAGTTAGCTCATAAGTTTTGTAAATTACCATTGTTGCTACGTAGTACAATATTTTTGAATAATAATTATAATGATATAGCTATATTAGTTTTTATTTTGTTTTGTTGTTTTTTGGATTTCTGGGGTTTGAGCTCAGGGCCTACACCTTGAGCCACTCCACCAGCCCTTTTTTGTGTTGGGTCTTGTGAACTATTTGCCTGGGCTGGCTTCGAACTGTGATCCTCCTGATCTGTGCCTCCTGAGTAGCTAGGATTACAGGCATGAGCCACCAGGTGCCCAGTTTGCCATATTTGTTTTAAAATAAATTGTTTGGGTTACCTAGAAGAATGGACACCCACGTATTAATTAAATGCATGTATATTTGGTAGTGTTTTTAAAAATGCAAAGGTGACAAACAAAATCATCCAAGTATACCTAAAGATTCACAAAGTGCTTAAGACTCTAGCAAATACTACTACTAACATAGCCATAATAATGCCAAGCACAGGGTTGAGTTTTGCTGAAAACTGCATGAAAGAACTCTGAGAGAGTACCAAGAAAATTAAAAACGAGAGTTTCTGTACAGAGGATGGGGAAGAGGATCCTGGGCAGATGGGGATGGCTATCTCTGTGACACTGCTCACATATTTTGCTCTGGATGTGAGTCATTATTGCCTTGTAGGTTTTCCATTTCATTCACCTAGAGCATGCCATGTTCGAATGCAATCTTTAGCCCTCTGGTCTCAGTGTAGTAGAAATAAAAATGTCATTGTTGTTTAAAAAGTGTCATGTGAGGGTCTGGGCATAGTGGTTTCTGCCTGTAATCCCAGCTCCTTGGGAGGCAGACGTAGGAGGATCAGGGTTCAAGGTATACCCAGCAAAGGTGCCATGCCAGACCTTATCTAAAAAGCCAGACTGGGGTCTGGCTCCGGTCGTAGAGTGCCTGCTGAGCAGTGTGAGACGCTGAGCTTAATCACCAGGTCTGCCAAGTGTCCTGGGATTTGGTGTCAATCTTTTAGTGACTTCCTTCTTTATGACTCAGGGCAGACAGTTACCAATCTGCTCACCAGATGCTTAAGACCATCGGCCAGCAGGCCAGCAGACCATTTCACCTGGCACAGGTGTGTGATGCGATGTATGCAAAGGCTTGGGGAAAAGGACCGTTATACACTTCAGAAGCTAAACTAAAGGGGAAGAAAAACTCCAAATTTCCTTGGGGAAAGCTTAAGCAATGGAGAAACCCCCCCCCATTCTTCAGGATCCAGGACTGGGGTCAAACCCATTTCCAATCTTGGTTGATGACCTAGAACTTGGGAGACCTCAAGAAGAGAACTCCCCAGCTTTTAGGGGTCACCTGGCTCTTTCATGTGAGCACAGGCCTGTGTGACTGTTGCGCATCTAGAAAACACACTGACTAATGGGGCTGAAGACACCCAGAGGGGCAAAGAAGGTGGGAAGATAGACTGGGCACTGGGAAGATGGACCCACAGACAGACCCCAGCCCTTTCACCTGAGAGGAAGGAAGATGTCTGAAGGGCAGGGAGGTTGACTGAGTGAATATTTTCTGGATCTACTTACCACCAAGGACAGGGCATCTCCCCCTCTTTGAAGGTACAAAGAGGCAAATGGCAGAAAGGTTACAAGTGTGCGTGTTGAGGGGGTCATTACACAGGAGAACCATCTGTAATGTATCATACTGCAGTGGACAGGACTTGAATCTTCAAGGTTTTGAAAGGTTTAGAGGAATCTGAGTATCAGACAGCATTCCAAGGGTGTTAACATGAGGCGTTAGGATGGTCTGTCAGCATTCTATGAATCAAAGATGGAAGGACGTGTGGTGCAAGGCAATATAAGTAAGAACACATGTTATTTTATCGTGTTCTTGTCATGTGTCAGGCACTGGTCTGAACTCCTCTATCTCACTCGACCCTAAACAACCCCAAAGTGAGATTCCTCCTGTGTAGTCACCATTGAAGGGGGAGGACGTAGAATTATTTAAGACCCCAGGGTCCCTATTAGGGGAAACAGGATCAGAACCCAAATGACCCGACTGTAAGACCAGCCCTGTAATTGCATTGCTATGACCTTGTCTGTGATTTGGGGCCATTGGCTGAATTCTCATAGGATCCCAGGAAATCCCAGTGGTACCTGCAGAGAGGGGAGGCTGAGACATCACCACGTGGAGCTCAAAGGCTTTCTGGGAAGGGTTATCTTTTTGATCTCATTTCTCACTTCTTCGCTAAGACTAGAGAACCCCTTAGCTCTGAAACTGGAAAGTCTTATCAGCAAAAACTCTGAAAGAGCATCAAGTAGCAAAATATATAATATGATTACTGATACCTGTAAACTTGTTCAAAAGTGAGCTTAATATCTGGGTTATTGAGTATCATGCCAGAGAGGTAGTATTTCCATTCCTCGTTTATTAAGTAGGGGGTGTCCAGAACCTAGAACAAACAAAAACGTGTGGGGTTAAAACACACAACACACACAGTTTTACACTAACATGCACACACATAATAAATTGAATATTCTGTTAATTTTTTGCATCATATTTTTTATTAATTTCTAACCTAAAACCAGAAAATAATGTCTATCAAAATTAGTACAGGGACAGCAGGTGAGAATTAAGTGAGAGTAGGTGGCTGGGAACAGAAGTGGGAGAGAAACTTTTACTATGTTCTTTTTAATATTTTACCGATTGTGTTGTCTATTCAAACATTAAAATGTAATTTTAAAAACTTTTATTTAAAAAGAAAATAATATAATTGAATAATCAACTCGGCCCTTAGGTAGCATCAATCAGAATTATTGAAATCAGTTTTCACTAGTGTACAACTTCCTTTTACTGAGGTGGATGCCTTAGAAATGAGAGAGCAGACAACTTGACTCAGAACGGGTAATGCAAAGTCGCACACCGGCAGACTCAGCCCGCGCTGCCTCGCTTATGAGCTGCTCGCCTGTGTATGTATTTAAGTTAGGCACACTAGTGCAGGGCTGTGTGTGCTCTTAGCACTATGAGCTGGGTGTCCCTTATCCAGAATGCTGGGACCAGGAGTGTTTCAGATTTCTGATTTTTTTTCCAATTTTGGAATATTTGTATACACATAAAGAGATGTCTTGGAGATAGGACCCAAGTCTAAATGTGAAATTCACCTTTGCTTCATATACTTCTTATACACATGGCCTGAAGGCAATTTTATACTATATATAAGCATATACAAATATATTTTGTATATTTAACATATATAATACATACTTAATAATTTTGTACATGAAACAAAAGTTTCATGGTGTGGAATTCCCAGTTGTGGTGTCAAGTCGGTGTTCTGAATGTTTCAGATTTGGGGAATTTTGGGTTTCAGATTTCTAATTAGGGATGCTCACTCTGAATAAATGGTTGTGAAATATCCCCTACTTTTATGCTTTTCCTTTTTGGCAGTACTGGAGTTGGAACTCAGGATCTTGTACTTGCTGGGCAGGTGTTCTCTAGCACTTTAGCCATCCCTATAGCCCTTTTTGCCTTAGTTATCTTTTGAATAGGTCCTCACTTTTATGCCCTGATGAACCTAGACTGAGATCCTATTTATGCTTCCTGCATAGCTGGCTTGATAGGTGAGCACCACCACACCAGCTTTTTATTGGTTATTGCTTAAGCTTTCTGTCCTGGCTGCCCTTGAACCATTATCCTCTTGATCTCTGTCTCCCAAGAGGCTGAGATTACAGATTTGAACCACTGTGCCTGACTTCCCCTACTTTCAAAGAATTAGTTTTCATGATTCAACAGAAAGTAATGAAGCCTGGCCTGAGGCCTTATTATTTTTCTCATGAGGCCACATGAAGATATGATCCATCGATAGACTTAATGTACTTTCCCTTGATCAGCTGAAAACATGGTGAGAGCTAGTCATTCACTTGGTTTCCCAACAGATGTGAGGTGAAAAATAAGCATATAATTAAAGAGAGAAACAGAAATATATTTAAAAACCAGAACGTAGAGAAAAACATTGAGAAACCAAACATATGGACCAAAATTTCCTCATTAATGAAGAAAGCAAAATTGTGGACTGAGCCCCTAGCGTCCGTGGGAGTTGATGTTAGAAGGAAAAAGTGAAGCTCGAATTCAGTTCCTGACTGTCCCATCAACTATCTACCAGGGACACTCCTCTGCCAAGAGGGTGTACATAAGCAGCCTTTTTCACTTCAAATGTAGGGCCCCAAACCACCTGTGTGGACACCTTTGTCACTTGTGAAACTCTTTAAAATATCAGAAGCCTCCAGGCGGCTATGGGAGGACCCTAGAATTGACCTTGTGATGTTCTTGGCCACCTTTGGAAACTTCTACCGAGGAGAGTTTTATTCTCCCACATTGATGTGCAGGTCTTCATTCCTGGTACTTATTACACTCATAATCAGAAAATGAAAGAAGTACTACTATATGTGTGTGAGTTTGTATGTGTGTGCTTGCTATTATAAATACCAAATTAAACCCAAATTATTCCTGGTTTTTCATTGCTCTTGAAGTAACCCACAAGACATGGTGAAATCCACATCTGTTCATGCCCCCCTCACAATAAGTAGAGAACTGTATTTACCTGGAATATACTCATATCTGCAAATGGTTCACAGACCAATTTTTGTATATTTGTACCAATGATAAAAGTAAGAGCCACAAAGATCATCAATAACCAGCAAAACAGGAAACTTAATCCAACTCCACTGAAAAGAAACATAAACAAAGTTAGTAATTCTATAAGGAAGAAATTCAATATTGCCTACCAGTACTGACTAATTCTACCCACTCAATGTAGAAAATGGACTGCAGTCTTTGGTGTTTGGCAGGTCAAACAGATCAGCCTACTCAGCCATGAAGAGTGGAAGTGGTTAGCGCTGTCATCTTTCAGCCCTTCGCATATACTTAGTGCTCACGTGATGGGTTGGAGCCTGGGCTCTGGAGTCAGGTGAGAGCCAATCCTTTATGCAAAGGGTAGAGTGGGTAGAGAGACTATGCAGGAAATGTGCTCTTGAGTGTCTGCAAAGGGGCGACGTTCTCTGCATCCACAGGGATGACAGAGAATGTCAGAATGGCAGCTCCAGAGGCAGGTCAGGGTGTACTGGACAGGGCCTGGAGGATTAAAGGGTGGAGGAGGACCATGAGGGACCTAAAGCACAAGAGGAACACCTCCAACTTCTCTCTGAACAAGAGCACTCCAGGCACAGTATGCAGGATAGGTTGGACAGGGGTCCCAGGGATGAGCCATCACTGCAGAGGCCGTTATGGCCAGAGAAGGTGGCTTGATGAGGCAGGTGGTGAAGGAGAGAAGCCAGTGGAGGAAAGCCATCTAACAAGGAAGGCAGATGCAGCAGGATGAGAAGGGTAGGAAGGGGTCTGACAGTGGTGGCAGGGAACAGATGCTCTGGGCAGGAAGAGAAGATGGGGTGGACATTGGTCGTGTTCCCAGTGAGCCACTGCAGTGAAGACAAGGTATAGGAGTCACACATGTGTTTGAAGTACAGATCTCTGGCTAGAGAATACATTAGGAGTTAGAAGCTTAAAAATGGGCCTCTATCCCTTCGACATGAGGCGAACTCAAGAGAGAAGCAGCCTAGGTCAGGTCTGGAGGACTTCAGCCTTTGAAGAACAGGTGGTGAAAGGGGAGCCAGCAAACAAGACCAAGGTGAACAGCCCAAGAAGGAGGACGGACAGCATTTGGGTGTGAAAGTGCCTACTAGGAAAAAGAAAGGAGGAAGGAGTGTTTGCAGAAGGGAGTGCTCAGCTGTGGCACACACTGCTGTACCCATTGTCCCAGAACCCAGATGTCACTATTGAGGGAGGAAATGAAATTGGAGTGGACCAGGGAGTTAGTGGGTGAGACGGAAAGACAGACAACAAAACAGATCATTCTGTTGAGAAGGCTGATGTGCAGAGAGGTGAGCTGGAGGGCAGATGTGGTGTTGGCGGAGAGAACAGAGCAAGCTTACTTTTTGAGAGGCAAGCCTGGGAGAGGAAAAGAGAATGAAGACATGGGAGAGAAGGGATGACCCAGTATATCCTTGGGGTGGTGGGAAGGGATGGAGTTGACAGCACTGCTGGTAGCAAGGCCTGGAATTGGATGGAAGGAATCCTTCTCCCTCCAGCAGTCTAGAGAAGAGACCGTGGTTTTGAAAGCAGGAGTGTTTGGAGGTGATGAATGATGGCTTTCATTTCCTCTGTGAAGAAGGAGGCAAAGCCATCTGTTGAGAGAGGGGGAAATTGGAGGGATAGATGAATTAGAGTTGAAAAGATCATTGCAGAGGATCAGGAGAGTGGGGTGTTGAAAAGTGAAGGGAAGGGAAAGGAAGAAGGCAAGGGGAAAAAAAGGGAAGGGAGAGGAGGGGATTACCAGACTCTGGCAAGTCCATTTGGAATGGGATCAGAGTTGGTGAAGACGCCCAAAATACCATATTGTGGAATTTTCCTCTGGCAGCATCCAGCTGTCCAGGTGTAGGCACAGAGAGCAATTCTTAGAGCCAAGTAGGCAGTCGCCCATCCAGTACCATCACCGGCGTGCACTTGGCAGGAGCCTCACAAGTGTGGGAGATGACAACCTGAATACCAATGGCCTCCCCTCCAAAGGGAGGGCTTGTCCCCTTGTCCCCAGCCAGTAACATCAAAAGCTACACTCACAAATATCTGTATGTTTTCATTAAAAGAAATAGTAAGAGAAGTTCATGGAAAGGGCCCTAGGTCAGCTTTTGCATCTGGGACACTATAAAGAACGGGAGAGTGGGCCTAGGCAATGCCAGAGTTCACACTTGAGCCACACCTCCAGTCCATTTTGCTCTGGTTATTTTGAAGGTAGGATCTTGAGAATTATTTGCCCAGGCTGATCTCAAACTGGGACCCTCCTGATCTTGGCCTCCCAAGTAACTAGGATTACAGACATGAGCCACTGGTGCCTGGCTATGACTCCTTTTGAAATGTGTTATCTTAGAAATTCTACCAGCAAACCAGGACAGTCAACCTAGTTACCAATTCACAAGTGCACATACCCTGACTGCCTGTCCACCCTCTGCAACTGTTTCCAGGACCTCACTACCAGAAGTCAAACTGCAAAAGCACATCCCTGCTAGGATGCGCCTTCCAGAGTTGGGTCTGCATCCGTCACAGAGTCCTCTAAAATGGGAATTATTGAGCAAAGGGCATTATGTTCTTTTTATAGCCCTTGCTTGAGCCTGACAAACTACCTTCTGTAACCTCAGAAACTGCCACCAGCCACACAGATGGTGCCTACTTCCTGACACCTGTGGCTGCTCAGTGAATCAGTTTTTCTTCAAAAGCCTACTGATCTGGTCATTGTTTTCAAGAACTCCAAGGGAACATTTGAAATGGGCTCCGATAAGAGAAATGCTTGCTGCCTGTAACATCCCCTTATCTCTGGGGAAACCTCACGTTCTCTGCCCAGATACTATGTTCCCCACTGCATCCCAGGCAGCCGCTAAAATGCTCTGGAGACCCTCAGAAGGGGAATCTTTCAGACGATCAGCTTTTGAAAGAGACGGTGTCATTATTTTTACAGAGCACGTGATGCTTTGGTTGTGGCAGAACTACAGATATACTTTGATTTCTGTAAGCGAGTTAATCATTTGAAAAAAGTGACACTGCGTTCTTGTACTCAGTCTGGCTGACTACACTTGGCTCATCCCTTCCCTTCGCAATTGTCCATTTGTTTACCAGATGTCTTTAGCCATTCCTTAATCTACAGAAGAATTCTACCTAAACTGAAGTGGTTGTAGTCTCCATCAATGTGTGGTTGACTTTCTGTGTTGTTTTTTTTTTTTCTTTTTTAGTTTGGTTGGTTTATGTTGTCATTTGTTTGAAACTAAATAGTTGGTTTTTGGTTGTGTCCCTAAAAAAGTGTGAACAGAATTTTATGAAGAGTGTACTTTTTAAAAGCAATTTACTCCAGTTTCAAGCAGCTAAAATGGAATATACATACCACCCAAGCAGGAACATTAGCCAATTATCAGGGCTGTTAAATTCTTAACATTAAACTAATCTCTGCCTGTGGCTACCCATATTTGAACTAAAAGGGAAGAAAATACAAGGGAAGACAAATGCTGGTGTAAATTTGCTCATGGTTCTTCCTTCTTGTATGTCACCTGCTCTCTAGCCTTCCTCCCCATACTAGTGACAAGGTGATAAATAAAGGCACGTAGCTGACATTTTGGTTCTCCATTCCCCAAAGGAGTTGTTTCCAATCTTTACCTTCCCCTGACTCCTATCACACACACTATGGTTAATTTTCCATGAGCTCATTAAAAAAAGAATACCCGCTTGGAGCCACATGTTCCTCTGAGGAGCAATGAATGCCATCACACTTGCATCCCAGTTTACTTTTCTGGCCCCACTGCTAGGAACACCTGGATCGTGCCCACTGTGCTGTGTCACCACCTGCTAGGGGAAAGATTTTCCAAACACATGAACTTAGATATGAGTGTCTTCAAAGCAGGGATGGTCACTCCAGTCTGCTACAGGCTTATCACTCCCTGGCACCTCACACCTGCTCCTGTCCCTGATTTAAGCTGCTCGTCTAAATCCCAAAAGTGCTGGGTCGGCAAATCCTGTTCTAAATCAAGTTCCTAGCAGTTTAAGCTAGTAGTATTGACGACCATTTGGAACAATGTCTGACACGAGGCCAGCTCAGCTTCTAGCAAATGAGTGAATAAATGAAGGTAAAGAAGGAACAATGGGAATCAAGAAAGTAAACTTGGAAATGATTTTCATGGTAGTTGCTTTAAAAAGGAGCCCATTCTTTGTAAATAGTGCATTTAAACTGGCCCATCAAAATGAAATCAATTCAGAGCTTTCTTTTACTTTCTATGCTTGACCCAAGCCAAGAAAGACCACAGCAAGACACCCACTCCACTAGAACTGAGTGAGTGACCAAGAGAGTCCCAGACTTGCAGGATACCACAGTCAACATGGGCTCTCCAACCTGTATTTCCTCCCCTGTACGACAAAGAGAAGAAAGCCACTCACGTCATGAGGAAGATGCCTCCCATGTTGGACACGCAGCCTCTGCTGGTTGGGGTGGCATGCTTGTCATAGCCACATACGCCACACAGCAAGCCCAGGTAAAAAAATATCACAATGAGGGTCAGCAAGAAGCAGATAATCAAGCCACCCAGCCACCTGGTGAAGGAAGTATGGTATTACTATACATTGAACAGGTGTTGACTTCCCAACCCAAGAGTCACAGACAGAGGCTGGGGCAGTTGAGGAATATTCCTGGCAATCTTACATCAGAGTTCTGGGTAAATTCCTTAGAGGGTGAGACTGTTATTGACAAGATCCCTTCCCAACTCTAGTCCTCCAACCCAACCAGCCAAGACACTTTCATCTTAGCTTTGAGGTACCCTCTCTCAACAGTCATGGCATTTTGCTTTCTTCCTTTAAACTTTCAAAGGTATTACAAGGGGCTTATAGCAGAGATTCCTGAGCCTCTTCAGAGTTCTGATAAAAATACCCCTTAAGTCTTTTAAGTACTTTCAAGGTCCCTGACACTGCAAGATGTGGACAGATCATGGTTAGCCAAGATAAGGAACTAGCAGGCTCTTCTGTCTGGCCTTGAAGATGTTTTGTGATTGCAGGAATGTCCTGGGGCACACTGTTCTTTTACTGAACCAGAAATACTCCATGGTAGCAGATGCATGAGGCATTTAGAATTTTATGAGCATCCTAAATCAAATGCCTGCAGAATGCAAATCTCAATTTTGTAATGGTCCTGCAACACATTTTAGGCTAATGGATCCTCAGGTCTTACTCACATTCCCGGAATTGCACCAACTTTTCCCAGAAGCTGAAAAGCATTTGAGCTAGAAGTGCTTCCCTACATTTAAGTTATTAAAAAAAAAACAACAAATTTGCTTTGATTTGGTGCCTCCTGACAAAAGACACCACTAAAGCCTTCCATTCAATTAAGAGCAACCTTGGTAATTACAATAATTGCCACCAATGGCCATTCTGTGGAGGCTGGGGACACAAAATTAAATAAACCATGAGCTTGGCCTCAGAAAACTTTGAGAGTTAATAAATCAGATGATTAGCTGAATTTCTTTCAAAAATAAGCTGATGGTCTCTGGGCAGGGGAAGGAGGAAGGGAGAGTGGGTAGCAGGCAGGTAGACCGATTGTACTCTTCTTTCTGATTTGTGAAACTCTGATCTCTAATGAGTTTATAAGGTAATTGAGAAGGGGTCTCTCTTACATTTGTCCTAATACCTTCTGAGGTGACCTCCCCACAACAGAAATGTGGCCAGCAACTTGCCAATGACAGGGCAATGACTCATAGCATAGCCAGATGGGATTTGACACCCCCTCCCACCCCACCATATTCCAGCTGACCATAAGTGAGTCACTTCCCTTCCCTGAGCCCCCAACTCTTGTTTAAAAAACCAGAGTTATACATGGAACATATCCCAGGAGTGCTCTCGGAGTACTAAGTGAGATGTCATGCATCAATGGTAGCCATTTTTGTAACTGTTTTATTATTTTTCTTGTGATCTTACACACACACACACACACACACACACACACACACAAATGACCCAAATGAGTCTTTGGACTCTCCAAGGGCTTGGGGAAAATGGATGGTTCTAGGGACAGGTCATGGGGCTGAGCCCTTCAACAAGGAAAATGTAAGTTACATCCCAAGGGACCCTCTAAGTTTCTCAAACCCCCAAGTCCTTCCCTCCTCCGTGCTCTGTTAGGAGGACCACCATCATCTTGTTTATGAAGCACTGGGCTTAGCAGCTGCTCACCTGATCCTGGAGAACAATTCACTGCCTTCAAGGTATCACCAAGAAGACCAGGCTGTTTCAGTAAATACCAATCTCTATGCATTTATTTTATAACCAGTGAGAAGGGAAAAGTTTCCAAACAGCCTTCTTAATTATGTTTAAACTTTAAAATCCCATTACATTCCTGGCTTACTAATTATAATGAAGATTCTAGAAGTTGATAATGACATCAGATTGCATACTGTTGAATATTTGGCTCAAGAACTTCTAGTCTGCAACTTAGGAGAGAGGGAGAGAAAGAGAGCAAGAGAGCGAGAGAGAGCGAGAGAGAGAGCGAGCTCACAAATTTACATGTCACTCTTACTCCAGGACCATGCTAATCTACCCTGTATTGTTAAAATTTTAGTGTACACACTACTTTAGTTAAGCACTTCAAATGTTCTTAGTAAGCATAAACCAGGTGTCTTTGTACAATTTCAGATTTTTATTTATGTGTTCCATAGAAAGCTTAGCATTCCTAGCTTACCAGCTCCAAGGAGGCACTCACCAGTACGAGTCATCTTTTTCCATAGTGGGTAGACTGTGATGGAAAAAATCCTCTGTGTTATTCAGGTAACCAGTTAAATCTGACAACGTGTCCTGAATAGGAATCTGTTTGGATACACTGTCAATGACTGAGCCAATGGAATTCAAGACCTCTTTGACATCTGAAAAAAACAGGTGTTGGTTATGCACTTTCCAACATGGAGGACCCAGAAACTATACTTTGGAACCAAACAGAAAATGATTGAGTCACTTTTTGTTTTTCCCATGTTATGAATGTGTTTATAATAGGGTAAGATTCTACAGCAAGCATGAAGAGAGCCAGACCATCAAAAGCAATGACTACACAAAACAGCAAGCTGGGAATGCAGACTTTGATGACATTGTGCTGACATCAAGACAGTTTTCTTTTTCCACTACCTTTTAAAAACAAGAAAAAATGGATTAGGTGATTAAAATGCAAGTGTACTGGCCATGTGCCAAGCACGTTGGTCAATATTAATCTCTTTACTCCACTGAGGCAAATATTCTGAATTCCCATTTACTAATGTGACACCAAGGCCTATAAACATGAAATTACATATCCATAGGTCTCTTTTAAAAAGCATTGGGAATGACATTGAAATTAGGGTGTATTTACCTCTAAAAGCCCTGTTACTTGAATTTGGAATAATAACAAAAATAACAATAGTAATTCTACCACCTAAGAAATGACATTTAGGGACATAGTACCTCTTCAGGATCATTTTTTAAATACGTGATCCCAGGTGACATGCTTGTTAAAATTTTACTTGACTCACTCAATTTGAGACTTATTATATAAGTAAATCTGGGACTGGCAGGGTGGCTCAAGTAGTGAAGTGCCTGCTTAGCAAGCATGAAATCCTGAGTTCAAACCCCAGTACCACTAGAGAGAGAGAGAGAGAGAGAGAGGTAAATCTGTGGATCCTATATGCAAGAAGCAACAGTATTCCCAGTAGTCAGTTTCTATTAATATCCATAAAAGTCTCTCAGAGAGGACACAAGTTCAAAGAAACACCAGCTTTCTAAAGTTTCTGTTTATGACAAGTTCTAGGTCAAAGCCACCTGGGTGCCATGTGTCACCGGGACCCAGCATTCCCACTAATTGGCTTTACCCACAGAGGTTCTTAACACAGACACACTAAGAGCATACTAATCAGGTAGACGTGCACTACTCATGAGAGGGAGACAAATGTCTTAACAGCAGCAGAGACAATATAAGCAGTTCCCAAGATGTGATCCATGGGCTCCTGGTAAATTTCAGGTAAGTGGTAGAGGTGGCAGCTTGGTCCAAAACGTGACTAGAAATGGTGGGACCTTTTTTAAAGTGTTGTTTTTCACATACATTTGAAATCTAGAAAGCAAAGGCATGGACTGAGCAACTGAGCACCATGTATTTGGATACAGTGGATAAGGAAACATTCTATGTGACTCTGCCTCCTTCAAATGGCGCATGTGCAAAAATCCCTGAGGCTCCTTGACTGCATGACTCCGTGGGCCTTTTTAATGCTGGGATTTTGAGAGATGTGTTAGGCAGACACTATGTCTACATGAGCAGCTGTTAGGGACCAGTCTGCTTCTTGTCTGCCTTGCCCTCACTGACATACAACACAGCTCCTCAGCCTCCTAGCTCTTCCACAGCTGACTGGTGCCCTCTCTAGCAAATACCTTCTTCAAGTTCCATTTAAATACTACTTTTTTCAGGAAGCCTTTTGCGGTCCTGTCCTACTGTGGATCCCTTGCATGTACCTGGCTGTGCTCCCACACCATGGTCAATGGTGTTTATGTGCACATCCAACTAAAAGACAGGGCCAATGCCTCAAGCTTCTCACATCCCCAGCACCTGGCGGAGCCTGGCACAAGGCAGGCACTTAAAAAGTATGATCAGGCTAGGGCTGAAGGATCGAACAGGTAAGATAAGGACATGAAAATAAACACCTGATGTCCAGGCTTATGGAGTGGCACCAGTTGGCCCTAGGAAAATGCTGGCTTGTGTTTAGGCAATGACACCATGTGCCCTCACCCTTGCTCACATACATGTACACTTGGTTTTGTCACAGTTACAAGGGAGGCCCGTGCATGTGGGCAGAAGAGGTCCAGAGAGGAGAAACAGAAAGTTAGCACAGAGATTAGTAAGCAGGTGGCCATCAGCAGACGCACAACGTGCATTAGCCTTCAGACGTTAGCATGGGAAAGCGTGAACTTTGTCTTTAAAACTGAATAGAGCCTTGTATGCACATATGAATAATAAAACAATAAAAAATTAAAAAAAAAACTTAATAGAGTAGAATCTTATATTAAACAAGAAGAGACACACAAAACATCTGAAGCACTAGGAAAAAGAACGAAATATTCTTTATCCATTCTTAACGGGTTGAAAGAACACCATTAAGAAAAAAGAATCAAATGTTGCTAACATAATATTTTTAAAATACTTAGTAAATAGGTAAAAGAAGCACTGGAAAGATGATTTAAGAGAGAAGAGAGAAAGAGACAGAGAAAAAGAGAGACAGAGAGGCAGAAAGAGAGGAAGACAGAGAGAGAAAGAGAGAGAGAGAGGGAGAGAGGGAGACAGAGAGAGAGAGAGAGAGAGAGAGAGAGAACAGCCTTACACAAACTCAGAGATTTCTTCCCCCAAATTTATTCCCATTCGTCAAAAAAACCAAACCGCTGGCGTATTCTCTCTGTACGCTTGCCCACCGGATATCAGAACCTGAACCCAGCAGGGTCCAAAGTTTTAAGAACTTTGCCTCGTCTTGGCATAGATTCTGCTCTCCCAAACCGTCAGCAACCTCAGGAGCCCAAAATACCATTCCATCAGCATCACGGACAGAAAGAAATCTTCCAAAAAAGGCAAAATAAATTTCACACACAGTATTCCTAAAAACTACATAAATAACTTAATTAATTAAAAAATTCATTTTAAGTTCAGTTAGAAAATATAATAATTGTAGTTTTTTTTCCCCAGGGCAGTCAGGACATGGTCTTCTATGCCACAGCTGCTGTGAGGTTGTAAGACCCCAAGAAGGGGACCGCCACCCATATGGCTATCATAAATTGTGTTAAATAAGAGTATTTGTTTTTACATCTACGTCACTGACTGGATTGAAAAGCTCTGATATCCATTTTGTTTTTAGGATTTTAGTGACAGGCTATTCTTTTAAAGTAGAAAAAGACAATATAGTTCATAACAGTTTGTTGCTTTGTTCTGAGCAATGACACAGTTCTTAATAAACTGAGAAACAAAATGACTTCAAATATGAATCTCACCTGTTACGATGTCTGTAGTTTCGTTTTGTACCTTCTCAGGTATTTCATCAAAGGCTCTATAACCCTAAAAAGTATTTCAATTAAATTGATGTACAAGGTAAGCTGGAAAGTTGACTAATACTCATTTTTCAGTTTAGTGTGGAGTAGAGAAGTAAAATAAAAAGATAGCATTTATCTTAAGGCTGAAATGTACTATAATATAGTCATTAAGAGTCCAAAAAAAAAATCCAAGTGACTTGGGTGGTAGGGCAGTACCTATCAAGCAAGCAAAAGGCCCTGAGTTCAAATCCTATAGGGCAAAAAAAAAAAAAAGCATAGGAGTCTAAAAATATCCTCTTGAGAACTTTTCTTTAAATTGAACAAATCAAAGACCATATTAAAAGTTTTTCACCCAACAGATTTAGCTCAGGCTAAACCTGAGCCAAGAGTAACTCGAGTTGCCAAGAAATGTGCATAAAACCCCAAAAAAGGATAAAGGACACTGTGTGCACCAAGATAAAAGAGAACTAGAAGTCCTCGGGACAAGGAAGATTTTTTGCTAAAGACATTTAAGAGGGAAAAAACATAATAAAGTTAGTCCAGTGATTAAAAAAATTTTTTTCAGGTAGAGTATTCCCATGATTTAAAAATGAACCTGCTTTCTCACACAGATACTAGGAATTATTACGGAAGGCTTTATCTGCAACTCTGTCCCCGGGGACATCTGGAGATGCCTGGAGACATTTTGGTGCCGTGGTTGTGAGGTGCACTAGTCCTGTGTAAGTACAGACAAGCAGTGGCAAGATGCTAACAAATATCGCAATGCACAGGATGCCCCATCCCCCAAAAAGCCACGCAACACAGAGTGTCATCCGTGCTACAGAATGCATTAAAGTGTATTATATACACCTATGGGGAAGTTACGATGCAAACTATTTTAACTTAATTAAGTCAACAGAAAAAGGTTGAACCTAGTCAAGATGCCAGGAAAGGCTTTATTAAGAAGGTGATATGTGGGGTATGACTTATTGGTAGAGCATGTTCTCAGCATGTGCAAAGGCCCTGAGTTCCATCCCCTGCACGCACACACACACACACACACACACACACACACACACACACACACAAGAAGGTGATTTATGAAGGGTAAAAAACTAAGTTGCTACACAAAGGAGGGGCAGAAAGAGGAGAGTGCCAGGAAGAGGGCACAGCCATGGACAAAGGCATGGGGACTGGAAGGAACAAAAAGCACACCAGCACGCTGACTGCTGCAATATCAAGACTGATGTGGGTCCTGCACTGTCCACCCTCAATGCTGAGCCCCAGGCCAGCAGGGGACTTGGCCATCCCATGCCAGATGGCACTGCCACTTTTCTGCTTCCTATTTCCTCACACACTAGACCAGCCTTTAAATGATATAAAATAAGCCACTCTGGTGTTCCCCAAGACATACCTCTGTGACCAGCTCATCCAGATTTGTTCTAAGAATGTCATTGACACTTTCTAGTTGAGAATCCACAGATGGAAGCTGAAATTTTATAAAACGAAATATCAGGCAAAGTAGTTACCCCCCACGATTAACGCTCATAGTAAAAGGAGTCATCTTATATCCAAGCCCCAGAATGCTGGTAGTGAAGGGTATGACCTCACTTTCTTTTGAACAATACAGTATTGTTTGCAGAAAACACAATTTGCTCAGAATAATCTTGACAAGGCTAAGTTTTAAATGTTTGGAGGTTGCCTGCTGCGGTCAGCTAAAAATGTAACACAGATATGCATGAGTTCACAATTGCAGGCCCTGAATATTACTGTATAAAGTTGAGAAAAACACCTTTTAAAAATGACTTCCAAAATACAGGGGTTAGGATTGTATCTCAGTGGGACATAGGGCACACATAGCATCACAAAGCTCTGAATTTGATCCCCAGTACCAAAAATATTAAATAAATAAATGAAATTAAAATTAAACAAATAATAGTCAGTGGTTACAGTGGTGAGTAGTCCAAATTAAATTTTACATGTCCAGCATTCTGCATGAATTCAAAGTGTGAGTGTGATTCTGGGATGAAAAAAAGAAGACCGTTATAAAGGGTATTTTCAGAAAAATTGACATTTGAATAGAAACTGTGGAGGAGATGGCAGTATTGGGTCAATGATGTATGTCTAATTTTGGCAATTGCGTATTGGTTATCTAAAGTCAGCAAATGGACTAAATTATTTAGGGGTGTGGGAGCTGTCTGCAACTCGTTCCCAACTTCTCTTTGGAGAGAAGAACAAAACACATGTTATTTTATGCATTTACAGAATGATATAAATAAACAGGTAAGTAAGTCTGAAAAAGTAAGTGGCCATAATATTTAACACTTGGAGAATGTGACTAAGGATACCTGCAACTTTTTCCCAAAGTGTCTGAAAATACATGAAGACTAAAAGGTGGGCTGGAGATGCAGCTCCAGTGATAGAGTGCTGACCTTGGGTTTAAACCCCAGCACCTCAAAAATAGACAGATGGATAGATAAAACAAAAAGTTCCAGGCAATTACACCTGTAATCCCATCACTCGGGAGGCTAAGGCAATAAGATCCTGAGTTCCAGGCTAGCCTGGGCTACAAAGCAAGCCTCTAACTACCTCAACACGCCACCCCCCACACAAAAACGTTACCTAATGAGGAGCTATGTCAAACAAATTCAACTATGCTTTAAATATCTTCAATATCTCCGAAAATGACTGTGGTAGATATGCAGACATAGGTGTTTGAGAAAAAAAAATGACTCATGAAATGTGAAAGTGAGAAAAATTGAAATATTATTTTATATAAAATGTGAGGGGTATATATAACTAAATTAATAAACATGACTAGACATGACCATTTTTTTCTGCCTCCCAGAATTTTCTATATTTGAGTTGCCCCAAATTCTTTTTTGGGGGGGTGACGGACTCTTTGGAAAAAAGGAGAAATGACAGTTATTGCAACACAAATGGTTGACAGACAAGGTACAGGATTTTAAAACCTACTTTAATTTTAGAAGTCTACAAGTAATCTCCTCCTTTCTTGTTTTTCAAGCTCAGTTCATTCTGTTACGTTTCATCAAATGGCAAAGAACTCCCAAAAAAAGGGTTTCCTTTTATTCCTTTACTCCTGCTGAGGCCATTCCAGTGTGGTGAAAGGCTGACAAGGGCCAGGGTCTCCAACTTGAGCCACTGTGCACCCAACAGGTGCACCCATACTCAGCCTGCCCAGCCACCCAAGCCTGCCTCCCTCACCTCGCTGTGGCAAGCTCACACCTGCTCACCTGACCCAAGTCAGAGTTGCTCTCCAGAAGTCCTAGAGATGATCTGATTTCGTCACAGATGCTCTTTGCTTGGTTTGAGGAGCAATGGCTGTCGCTGAGTGACCTCTGGATGCTGTCTTTCACGTTGGTCAGGTTGTTGCTAAGCTGTGTACTTCCATCACTCAGAATCCGCAAGCTGTTGTTCATATTCTCCAGGGCCTCCTTGGTCTCTTTGATTGCTGTAGGGACAAAGTCGCATCAGAGCAGGACAGCAGGGCCCTTCCATCTGTAAGAGTGGTCTCAGGAAGCTGGAGATGAACTTAGACTCCTGCAAGGGGCATGTCTGAGAGCAAGCACAGGCTGCTGGGCCAGCTCCTCCAACAAGCACAGCTCTCCTGCATGGTTTCCCTTTTGACAGGAAGCAGGGGCCGAGCACCAACCCAGAAGCAGGATGGGAACGCATCACCATATGAGCAGCAGAGGCATCTCAGCCCAACTTTGAAGAGGTCAGTTCGAGTCCAGTTGAATCCACATAAAAATGGATCACACCCACATTTTGGCTACGAATATTCAAAGAGCTGGAATTAAACCTAGTGCACCAGTTGAGGGCACAGTTTTAGGTTCAGGCAGGTTTGGGTATAGATCCCAGCTTCACTACTTGCTGTGTGACCAGAGTGAATTGCTTGATTCCCTATGAGCCAATTTCCTCATGGTAAACGCTGAGACCACCACCGTGTTCACCATGAAACGTGAGGATTAGCCCAGCTAGACTGACACTCTTCAAAGGCAGTGAGTCTAAGCTTTACTTTGGGAGTCCCACAGCCTAGGACATGTTATTATTATATTAGGAAATTACAAATAATTGTTTGCTACCCTGATTTCTAGGGGTGGGGAGGGAAGAGGAGGGGGAGCTCTTGGAGACTAGGGAGGTGGTAATTACAACTTCCTCTGCAGTGGTTGAAAGCCTCAGCAATAAAAGGCATGAAACTGAAGCCAAAGGGTGTTGTTCTTTTAAGCTGTCTTCCTGGTCAGGACTTTGCTTTGTGGCTCACTAAACTGATGGCAGAACATCAAACTGTAATTAAGTGTTGCAAGGAAAAGTGTGGATGCCTTCCAAACCTGGTTGCCCCACCCTTCCCTGCCAACCACACAAAATGTGAGTGCTAAAACTATAGACACAGACACAGACACAGACACAGACACAGACACAGACACACACACACCCCACACACTACTGCTGTGCCAAGGAATCTCACCAAAAGCAGCTATGGTCTCCTCGCATTTCTGCTCCTACCTTTCTATGGCGTCTGGCAAACTCTGGTTTGGAAGTTAGGGAGCCCATGTGTTAGCTCTTAGACACTGGGGGTCTGTGATTCCAGGCGTGTCCTGACAGGTCTGTAGGACTGGCTCTTAGGAGAGGCTATCACCCACACTAACTCATCTGATTAGACACCTGGAAGAAGCTTCCAGAATTGACCCCTGGTCTCAAATACTAAACAGAAAAAATTTAAAATCTGCTTCAATCTTTGCTCTTGGTTTCATTCCAATTTATATCTTAACAATATTAAAGACTCAAGTGTGAGGCCTTGAGTTCAAACCTCATACCTCCAAAAATTAAAAAAAAGGAAAGACAGGAAAACAATATCACAGACTATAGTAGTTTTGAAGGCCATCAAAGTGCATTTGGGGTGTCAGTTTTGCAACCCTCCCACCTCCATGCCAGCATTCTCAGAAAGCAGGAAACCTGGTACCAGCTCATAGTAGGGACTCAATAAATATCTACCGTAACAACAAAAAAGAACAAGGCTACAACCAGAAACACACAGCAGAACGCAAAGGAGCCTGCTGGCCACCACACACCACGCATCTTGACGTAACTTCATGTTCTGAGAATTACCTCTCACAGCCCCCTCATTTGACTTCAAGGTAACTTATTTTCACACAAGAGATAAGTAACAACAACCACAGAAAGACAGATGATAAACTGATAGCCCAGGAAACGTGTGTCATCATCTATAGACATTCTGGGTTATGGTTAACATTCCTTCTTGGGGTAAGGACTCTGTGGTAATAAATATATGTTTTCCAAAAGCCTCAATACATTTTATGCCTGTAAAATATTTACTGGGTTATAACTCTGGGAGTCATTCCAGGCCTACCAAGATCACATATATTATGCTTCCAAATTAAGTGGAAAAGACCCCTCAGATTCTTAATTTTAGTCATTTAAGTTTTCACCAGCCCAGAGTTCATTTCCATTATGGGTCTTGACCTGTGGCGCAAATATAATGTTCTCTAAGGAACTGCATGTTTCTGTTCTCTTCCAAGTTTGTGAAACACGTAAAACTGCAACACATTTTTAGCAAAAAAAAGAAAAAATTGCTGGAGCAGATTAAGCACATTTTAAGAAATTCTGGCACCAACAGAGGCTAAATAAACTTTGACTTATGTTGGCTTAAAGGAAAAAGTCGAACTTTTTGTAGGCTGAAGAGAAAAATGAAATCCATTTTTCTTGTCTTTCATCTAGAAAGCACTAGAATTCAGATACTAAAAGTTGCTGGAACATACACTCTGTTACATCCACTCACCTCTGCCATCACAGCACAAAAACAGCCACAGATCATGCTTAAACAAGCACAGCTGTGTTCTAATAAAACTTTATTTACAAAAACAAGTAGTGGGCCCTATCAAATTCTGCACTATTTTTTCAAATGGCTTTTCTCAGTACAATAGCTTTGTCACAAGCTTTAGAAAGCATCACCAAACTATGTGACACTATATCTCTACCTGGCTTATTTGTGTGGCCACAGACAGGGTTCTCTTCCTGGTCAACTTTTAGGTAAACCCTGTGACCCTGTGAAGCCCAGGAACTCCTAGACCGAGCACTTTCGATCAGTTTTGCCACCATGCTTACCTGTAGCCATGGCCTTGATTTCATCAAGAACAGGGATCACTTTAGGTTTTAGTTGTTTGTGAATTCTGCCTCCAAGCAACGAATTAATTCCTGGATTCAAAGAAGCAGAAGAGACAGTGAGGCCTGACCAGGACAGGTTGGCTTCTTCCTTCAGCCCTCACACATTCGCCTTACATCACAAGACTCTGCAGCCTGGAAATGGCTTCCTCTTTTCTGTCCTGAGAGGACCCTGTTCGGATGTTGACTCTGTTGTGGAGGGGCTTTGACACATGCTTCAAAGTCCCCACACCCATGTCCCCCAGCAAAAATTTTGTCACCATGAACTCATAGACTATTTGTGCTGGGCACACAGTGTTTACCATCTTGAGCTGATTCCTTCAGCTATACCAGGGTTTCTCCATGGTGGCATTATTGACATTTGGGGTACATGTCTCTTGCTGTAGGACTGTCCTAAGCACCATAGGATATGAAGCAGCATCCCCGGCCTCTGCCACCACTCCCCAGCTTCCCCTCATCATGCCAGCCACAAATGTCTCCTCGTGTTGTCAAATGTCACCCTTTGGTTGAGAGCCACTAAGCCAAGCTGTGTGTGAGTTCTACCTGATGGGGTCGATCAGGCACCAGCACTGTCCCCAGCTATTTCTGAAGCCCACTTTAACAGGGCACATGTCAGGGACACACTTCCTCTTCTACACAGGGAGTAAGAATACCAGTGACTACAAGAAGGTAAAAGCTTTTTGCGAAGTATAATGAGAAAATACAACTGGACGTCCCTAACAGGATGTTCGTGGTCTGTGGAACACGGCAATCGCTTTCTAAGCAATACGAGTGGATAGGTTCAAGTGGTTAGAGTCATCCTAGCCACCCAACGCCGAGAGAGCTGAAGAATTTGTAGGTCACTTCCTATTATCTATGGAGACTTTATAGTCACGTTTCTGTCTGTTCTCTACGCCTTTCGACATTACTTTGAACTTCATTACGTCCTCTTGAGTTTCCGTATAGGAGAGTAGTAGTCTGTAGCATCTTGTGTTGAGACAAAACACCGATAGTTAAGTAGGATTCCAATCGGCCTATCAATTTTGTTACTCCTCCCATCGGTGTTCAGCAGGTCTGGCAGATAGGCAGCTCCGTGGTTCTTGTGGTTTGTTGTACGTAAAGGGCGCAGTGACAGATGTGAGTTGGTGATCACGTTAGCTCGGCGCAAAGAAAATCAATCGAATGAATACGCCTAGGTCGCGCCCTTTGGAAACTGAAGATCCACCATCAACATAGAGGACAATAAAGCTATATAAGAGATTTAAACGCGCATCAGCAAAATCGATTCACCTGGGAAGCAGGAACAAGGTAACGCCAACTGAAGTTTTTTCTTAGATGTAGATGTTTCCTATCTTCCTGAGCGTATGTTTGAATAGCACACTCGAAGCTGTTGTTGGACACAAACAACCGGATATTTGCGCTTGTTATGGAAAGATTTTAATTATGCTTTGGGTACTGTCTAACTAGTTATAGTTCATCACTGGACTGGGGGTGTGACTGATCTGCCGATTGGGACTCTTTCCTTGTTGGTGAGTGGACCGTAGAGGCTGGGCTCGGGGAGACAGGTGGCTTTTGCATTCTTCCAATGATACGTAAACGTGGAGGGGAGTATGTACATGGTGGCCGCCAGGAATCACTGCAAGTGATAGCAGTAATGAGTGGAACTAGTTGCAGGCCTCTCTGAAAGTTGAAGTGTGCACAGCTAGAGCCGCCAAGGTCAACAGTGCTGGCTTAGCGAATTCTACTAGTCGCAGAGTACATCACAGGGACCTCCAGACTCGCAAGGGTTTCAGGAGCATTGGATCCAACTCTTAGGGCAATGGAAGAAAATCTACCAATTTGGCTGGCCATTTAGAGGTTCTAGCAACAGAGGCCCATTTTATTGTACTGGGCAAACTGGCCTCTAAAGTAGGGGCTGCCCTGTCCCTGCATGTTTTGTCGCTAGGTGGTGGCTCCACTCACCCGCCTCTGCAACACCTCGGGTTAGTCAATGTTCTCAACCAACTGTTTACCGGTCGTCGAATTTCCTCATGAAAATTGTGTACATTGTTAGCGTTTAAATTTTAATTTCCGTGCGATTATTCACAAGTTAAGGTTAATGATCTATCATTCTTGTTTGTGGGTCAGGGGCTTATTGTACTGTGCACTTGCTCGCCCTAGTCACTCTTGCTAATCACCCGAATATTTGGTTAGTTTGTCAGAGCTCTTTGTTTGTGTTGAACCAGATAAGTTTTCTCCAAAGCCACGATTTACTATCTTTTTAAGATGATGAACGCAATCTCAAACTTCACCGGTTGTCATTGCTAATTTTGCCAGCTTTGTAGAAAAAGTTTCCTTGGAGACTGTAGAATGTCAGGTAAAAAATGTTATAAATTTTTATTCATAAGTTGGGAAGGGAAATATTTCCATCTGTACACACACCATAGAACTGTGGATAAAATTAACTTCTCTATTCTCAGGACTTAAAAATGCCTGCACTTGTTTCTCTTTTAGTTCCAAAAAAAAAAAAAAAACAGTACACACTTCTAATAAACTTGGAAGCACATAGTCTGTATGAAGAGGCCCATGGGTCTGGCAGATTCTCTCTAAGGAATCTAGGAGCTGGCACCCACCTCCCAGTGTTGGTACCACGAGCATCACACATCTAGGCAGGTTGCTGCCCAGACATTTTTGCAAACAGTGTTCTGAATACGTATACATCAACACGCTCCTGGAAAACACGAGAAAAGGGCCCTCTGCCCATCACTGCCCATTAGCCATTCTGTGCCCATTCCCAAAGATAACTTGTGTGCGCATGTGCACACATGCATGTGAGCGGGGGTGGGTCCTTCTGAGGAATCTGACACACCTGTACTGTTCATTGTCTAGGGTAATAATCTATACAGATATTAACAGATGGATGTTTGTAAAGCAAGAATATTTCAATGAAAGAGAAATATGTAAACAATGAAAAGTGAACTATACTGTGAAAAAGAAGGAAAAGGTGTACCTAATAACTTCAAAAAAAAATGATGAGGCCCTTAAAACTGTTAAGTATTTTTATAATATGAGCTGTAATTTTGTTATATCTTAATAGAATAAAATGAAGCAAAATTTAAAAGTACTAATTCTGAAGTTTGCTTTTGGACTCTTGAAACATCACTTGCTGTGACTTTATTTTTTCATCTGCAACCCTAAAGGTAACACCAACTACATGGATTTGCTGAGCTTTCAGAAGGTTCAAATGAGGCCCCAAACTCACATGGGAACTCAGAGGCCCCAACAATACAAAAGGTCAGGTTGTTGTTTTTACCTTTGGGGTTTCCTTCAGGAATGTTCGCAAGTCTTTGAAGTTGCTGTCTGCCAGTTTCTGAGTGCTTTTGGTCAGGGTCCTTACCTGGTTGTTGGCCAAAAAGGCATAGAGGATGCCAAGGCTGCAGGAAAAGGAAAGAAGGAAGAACAGTTACGACCACCTCCTCGATCTGCAGTCCAGCACAGCAGGACTTAGTTAGCCAGAAGGGCTAACTAAGAAGGGCAGGCTCCTTCTTCACCTGCTGCAGCCTTCCTGCCAAGATCCCACAGTTGACCCACCACCAAAAACGAAGCCACAAAACAGACCTCACAGCGGACAAATCTCCATTTGGAACAAGTATTCTGCTCAAAATGACTTCCATAACTGAGCAACCTTCCCAACACATTGTGGAGGAGAGAAAGTCTTCAGGGTTCTCAGTCACCCTCCCTGGCACACGCAAACACCACACACCTCTGCCACCCCCAAAGAAGTCTCTAGGGGAAAGTACCAAATGACACAGTGACCTGAGCCTTCTGGTGTTTTCAGTTTCTCTGTCTGCTAGCTTGTGGATTGTCTAAGTTGAACAAAAAATACGTTGCTTAAGTGTTTCAATGCTAAGTAAAAAGCCACACACACGAGTGCTGCTGTGTTAGTTCACTGATACAAAGTACAAAAGCAAGGAAATTAATGTGTCATAGTCTGTGGCTACTCCGAGGGGCAGTGTGACAGAGCTCTCTTTGGAGGCCTCTCTGCTTCATGGATATTCGTGCATATGTAATTATGAAAAGGACACTTCTCCATGCATATTCTTCAGAAAGTTTCACAAATGCTGCATGAAAGGTATCTTGTAGGAAAATAAAGCATTCTTTCAAGCCATCTAAAATGCCTAAATAGAACCATTTAAGAGCTCTTAGTGTTGGCTGGTTACTACCAATCCTTTATTTTTACAGCAAAGTCTTTGAACATTAAAATGTTAAATTTTGATATACCCAAAAGACTGTTACTCCAGAGGCACCTGCACATCCATGTTTATTGCGGCACTATTCACAATAGCCAAGTTATGGAAACAGCCAAGATGCCCCAGCACTGACGAATGGATTAAGAAAATGTGGTATCTATACACAATGGAATTTTATGCAGCCATGAAGAAGAACGAAATGTTTATCATTCGCTGGTAAAATGGATGGAATTGGAGAACATCATTCTGAGTGAGGTTAGCCTGGCTCAAAAGACCAAAATCGTATGTTCTCCCTCATATGTGGACATTAGATCAAGGGCAACACAACAAGGGGATTGGACTATGAGCACATGATAAAAGCGAGAGCACAAGGGGGGGGTGAGGATAGGTAAGAGAGACACACTAAAAAACTAGCTAGCTTTGTTCCCTTAATGCAGAGAAACTAAAGCAGATACCTTAAAGCAACTGAGGCCAAATAGAAAGGAGGAGACCAGGAACTAGAGAAAAGGTTTAGATTAAAAAAGAATTAACCTAGAAGGTAACACCCACGCACAGGAAATCAATGTGAGTCAATGCCCTGTATAGCTATCCTTATCTCAACCAGCAAAACCCCTTGTTCCTTCCTATTATTGCTTATACTCTCTCTACAACAAAATTAGAGATAAGGGCAAAATAGTTTCTGCTGGGTATTGAGGGGGGGAGCGGGAGGGGGTGGAGTGGGTGGTAAGGGAGGGGGTGGGGGCAGGGGGGAGAAATAAACCAAGCCTTGTATGCACATATGAATAATAAAAGAAAAATGAAAAAAAAAAATTGAACACAAAAAAAAAAAATAAAAAAAATAAAATGTTAAATTTTAGGGCTGGAGGGGTGGCTTGAGTGGTAGAGTGCCTCCCTGAGTTCAAATTCCAGTGCAGCCAAAAAAATGAAAAATAGAGAGGGAGAGCTAGACAAAGTAAAATGTTAAACTTTAAGAATTGCCAAGGGCCTGCTGGATTTGGCCACTAGGTGGCAGCAGAATTACATAAACAGCACAACACTGCATGTTTTTCCTACAATAGAAGCAAAAAACCCAAAGTTTTACTTTATAATCACCGAATGGAAAATGTAGGTATGTTTTTTGAGCAAAACTTGCAAATAATAGGCAAGCCTCATAAAACAAAGAAACTCAACACATTCCCTCTTAAGCACAAGTAATTTCTTCGGCTTTATTACCTGCATATTTACAGGTAGGGTGAAAAAGTTGTCCTGTTCTTTGCATTGAAAAATATGTGTCCCCACAAAACTTTTGAGTCCTAAGTAAATGTGGACAGTCATTCACCCCACTTAGGAATACTGATGTACTCCAAGGAACAGTGGTTCATTACTGGTGTCACTGGAAACCCATTTTCCCTTAGCAGTATTGCATAGGTCCACAGTCTCCCAAACAGACCCCAAAATGTCTCCACAGCACACAATATTGAGCAGATTTTTTTCTGGCTAACAAGACGCAGGGGGATAAGTGTTAGAGCAGGAGCAAAAGATTTGGGACAGTGCCAGCTCACTGTGTTAAGTTTGAAAAATTCAGTTATTATCTCAAAACTGAAAAGATCTTTAGATCTAATTAAGTAAATTACATCTAGCCCAACTTAGGTTGGATAAGCATCCCTCAAGCTGCAATGTAGAAAGTTCTGGATGTCTACAAATTCTGTAGGTTTTTTTTTAGGTTGGAGTTCCTTCTTACGGTAACCTTAAAAAATGAGTATTAATGCTATTTTGTGCCATTTGGAATTACTGTCCATCTTAAATTTGCACTGGTATTTTATGAGGCAGACATCATGCCATAGCAATAACAGTTACTGAATGATGTCTTCATGCCAAATTAGGCCAAGTGGCCAAAAATAGTGATTTTGGAGTTGTGAGCAGAGGAGACACACAGAAGCAAAACTTGAGTTAAGCAATGTGCCCGGAAGAAAACACTCTGTGCCGTGACTAAGTCAGGATGACCCCCACTCGCCTGCTATCGTACTGGGGGCCCTGCTTTTTCTTTCTAACATGTCCAAGTTATGCACTCATTCCTGAACTCTGGAGCCATTTGGTCATACAGGAAGTCACAGTGAACTTGGATTTCCACTTCCACTTGACCCTCTTTTGACTCCTTCACCTACCTCCAAAAAGAGAAGAGACTTCAGGTCGTGAATTCCCCAGGGCTCTCCCCAGTTCTGATGTGTGCATCACACTTCCTGCTCCAATTTGTCTTTGTTTCTACCCATCTTTAATTTCCCTAAGAGGGGGTGGAACTACTTCCTGGGCTTTGCAGAATAGTTTTGTCACAGGGCGCTCGGTGAGAGTGGACAGGAGGACTGGGCCATGGTTTCATTCGGCCTGTTTAGAGCATTAATCATATGTGCACAGTGTCGAGGTCAGACTCTCTTCCTTCCTTTATTAGCTAAGTGCCTTTGCTCACAGATCAGCCATCAGAAAACGCACTGCAATTTCAGTACAACGCTGAATCTCTTATTACAGATGCATAAAGACCCACATTTCTGCTAACCAACAATGGATCCAATCAAAATAATTGTTTTCTAATTTAAGCACCCAAGAAGCGGTATTAAACAGAATTCTGCAATAGAATTCAGCCACTTTCAAAGCTGATTCTTCTGTAAATTATTGTTGAAGTAAAGACAACACGTTAAAGGCCCATATGGGCAGGCAAGAAGCATGAAGGGTGACAGGCGGCTGGCGCTGGGAGAGCTGGGAGATCACGGTGGGGGCAGGGCGACAAGTCCACCAAGACGGCAGACCACTATTGCCAGACCTTTCCATTACCCACAGACATCTGGCAATCTGGATTCTTATGTAAGGTTCCTCGATCAACTAATAAGAAAAATCCTTTAAATACTGTGCAGACTCTCTGATGGTCTCCATCGACAACTCCTAATCTAAATCTTCTATTTAAACAAATACATAATAAAGGAATGATGCTTTTTCATTGTTGTTGTTCAACATATTTTGAAGCAAAAATCAAAAATCAAAAGAATTAATGCTTTTCTGTTTAGCAACCACCATTCAACTATTCATATATCAGGATACTGAGAGAAACCTGCTTAACACAAAAAGGGAGTAAGACTTCAGTGAATGTCTAGCACTTGACATAAATGCCTTAAGCTATCAAAAACATATACTTTTATACAGTACAACAAAATGCCTAAATTTTTTAGCAGAAGTTAAGAATTTATTTTCATAGCACATCAGCAATGCATCTTCTATATTTTGTTATGAGAAAACAATTTTCTCACACACTTGGAAGCTCTTAAAGCTTTCAAAATAAAAGCTTTGAATTCTTAAATCTTTAAAATTTGGAGCAATTGTTTTCCTACTATTTGAAATCAGCCACAGGAGCCAAATAAATGCTTACAGTTTATAACTGGTCTCTTACTTTTTACAAGGATTTTTTTAAATTAAAATTTTAATAACTGGACTTCTCATCTCCCATCTGGAGAACCTCATGATTTTTCAGGCATGCTATAGTTTAATCTTAATTTTTATTTTATTTTTTTAGAAGTTTCTGACTTCCAAGCCAAGAATTAACAACCACATCTTAATACAAAATGAACAGCCAGCCAGCTTTCTGGGGATGATTTTAACTCAATTCACCAGAGTAATCACCAGCAAGGCTGACTTCCAGCGCTCAGACACTTAGAAACACACAGAAGAAGTCAAGACTTGGCTCTTCTTCTTTTTCTTTTTCATGGTCTTTTTTAAAATTCTAAAATATGCAGTGATGACAAGTGGGGAAAAAAAGGAGAGGAGCCTTGGCTTTCAGTCTGCTGAATCAGTCCACACGAGAGGTGGAAATTTAATCTGCTGCTGGTGGCCGGACAGACAGACAGACTATATAAACATGTGTCCAGGTCCCGGGGAGACTCACAGGCCACGGGTGCCTTTGGAAAAACTCAGAGAGAGAGTGTGATGACATGTGCTGCGCACACACCAGGGAAGCGGGCTCCTCAACACCTATGGTGTTCTCCAAAAATCAGTAAACAAATAAAAAGTTAAAAGTCTTTGAAATAAAAAGGGATGGGTGAAAAAGAATAGTAGCCAAGACTAATTTTAAAACCACCTTCACTTAACTGTAAGAGTTAGCATCACTAAATGGAATTGAGTCCTGAGTTTAGGAAACAATTTTATTTTTAATTGTATCAAAAATGAGTTGTCACCAGGCAGGCTCCAACGTCTGCTGAGGTTGCCATAACCTAGAGTCCCTGCAGGAAGCAGGGAACGTTCCACTCACTTCCATCCTTGGCTTTCTAATCTGCTTGACATTCTGTCCCTCTTTATGTCACCAAATGTTCTGATTTTGATGACATCCTTCCTTCTCCCTTTCATCTAATCATCATATAGAAATCTTATTGTCCTCTAGTCTTTAATCTTCTTGACTAGCTTTGATTACTCCCAAGCAATATTCAGCTCTTTTTCACCTCATGATGTTTAAGATACTTGCAAACCAGTGGGGTTTCAGAGGGAAGACGTTAAGACAGTCACAGTAAATTGAAAAGTTCAAGGAAAAGACGTTCAAGCGTCTCATCTGAATTTAAAGTAAGACAAAAAAGAAAACTCTTCCACACGACTCTCATTTAGACCTGTTTATACTTTATCCATAAATTCAATGTACTGTGTGAAATCAAATTCATTTAAAATTTGTCACAACCTCAAACAGTGGATGAACTTTGGTTTAGACTGAAATCTAAAATTATGATTTTCAAATTTATGTTTTCCTTGATTGGTAAAAAATTTTAAGTGTATGTGTAGGTGACTGTAGAATCATAGCATGCGTTTTTAAAAAGAATTTTCCAGATAAAATACACTTAAAAGAAAAAACTTACTTAAATCTGTTTGAGGGGTCTGAATGTCAAGAATAAAAAATAGTTGTAGCACTCATTTTATATAGATGAAAGTCAAATTTATTTGGAGAAAGCAAGGAAATCTGCCTTCAGGATGGGAAGGGACCCCTGTTGAGTCTGACGGGCTTTGGGCTGTCACTGGCATTTCTGGAGGAGGCAACTAGTTCCAAAGCTGCAGGGTCTGTGCATTCCTGAGAATGCTTCTAACACAAAGCAGAGAGAGACAGAGACATCTGGAATGACCATTGACCAGATTTCTCAATTGCCTTTCAGAATCTAATGTCAAGAAACAGATTCAACTCATTTTCAGAGACAGACAGACAAGACAGGGTCAGATAAAGAGGCAGAAACAGAAAAAAAGAGACAGGCAGAAACTGAAAAGGACAGAAGGCAGACAGACAGACAGAAGCAGAATTAGAGAGCGAGAAGACAAGAGAAGAGATGGCCGCAGCTCAATCCCACAGAGAACACAAGGAGCTCCCTGACTAACCAACAGCACAGGAAGTTAGCTAAGACATTCACTCAGATCCGGATTGCACATGTATTGTTAAGGTCTATTTTTTCACCATTTTTTAGCAAAAGTGTGTCTTTGCTTAAAAAAGAAAAAGTTGTAATGCATTGGCTTTTATCAGTTATGAGGACTGTTTTGTGGTTCAAGTTTAAGTTTAGTTTAATTGATTCAAACTGAGCCTGGTGCTTCCAGATAATTCCAAAGACACCAGCAGCCGAGCTGTAGCATGAAGTAAGTTCCTCCTCCTTCTGCCCAAAGACCCTGTTTCCTTCCCAGAGGAAGGGTTTGCCCATCCTCTCATAATCGTTCTTTGCAAATATAACCAAATGTTGACATCTCCTTCCTCTTTTGTTTTTATCATAGCTATCATGCTTCACACAAGGTCTGCACCTGCCTTTCTCCACTTTGCCTTGGAGTCTGTGCCATCAGTGAATTCAGGGTCTTTCAGGGGTACCTTACCTTACAATGAATGGTCCACACCCAGACAAGGCATCTTAAATAGATCCTTCCTGGCAGCCATGTTTTAAGACTTTCCCTTTTGAGTTACAGTGAGAATTTCACCCCAATTTCAACACTTTGTGCTTAAATTCACAATTATTTCCTCACTTAATAAAACTTAAAAAATCTTACAGCCACTGAGCAAATATGGTGCTTGGAGAAAGACCAAGAGAATGATGGCTGCCAACCCTTGTTGGGCCTATACCCATGAGGCCTAGCAGTGTTCATGTGGTAAGCACCTCATTTCTGTTGCTGTATGAAACATTCGTTGAGTGAATAAAGAAATGCAGAATAACCAAAAATCACAAATGGCCCAGTGTCCTCATGACATTCCTCAGCCGAGGAATTGCTTTGGACCCAACAAAACATCCTTGTCTCAAAAGCAGTGTGCATCTAAAGATGAGTGTGGTGGTGAACACCTCTCATCCCAGGCTACAGCCAGAGGCATAAATAGGAGGATTGTGTCCAGGCCAGTCTGGGCAAAAAGCGAGACCAAATAACCAGAGCAAAAAGGGTTGGAGGTATGGCTCAAGCAGTAAAGCCATTGCCTAGCAAGCATGAAGCTCTGAGTTCAAATCCCAGTCCTGCCAAAAAAAATAGAAAGCAATATATTTCTGACCTGTTCATCAATGGAAAAAGGGGGTCAGCAGCAGGAACTGCAGACATACATCCTGAGTGAGGAAGTGTGTTCTAGACTTCTAAAGAGGGAAGTAGGTAAACAATAATTTCAAGAAAAGTGGGTTGAGAAATTATTAGAAAGGTACTTGCATTCTACAATATTCTTAAATTTCCCAGTGCAAGGATTGCATCCATCCATCAAGGTTCCTTTGGGAGCCAGGTATAGTGGTATACACCTGTAAACTTGGCTACTGAGATCAGCTCTGGCAAAAGTTAGAGATACCCTGTCTCAAAAACAAGAGGATTTCTTCTGAGACACTTGTGAAAAAAGAAAGAGAGAATCCTTGTGGGGCGGCTCACACCTGTAATCCCAGCTTCTTGGAAACAGAGATTGGGAGGATCATGGTTTGAGTCCAGCCCAGGCAAAAAGTTCACACACACCATCTCACCAAATAGAAAGCTGGGTGTGCTGCCATGCACTTATCAACCCAGCCATGTGAGGAGCACAAACAAGAGGACTGTGGTCCAGGCAGGCCCAGGTAGAAACACAAGACCCCATCCCCAAAATAACTAAAGCAGAAAGGGAGGGGGCGTGCTCAAGTGGTAGAAGACCAGCCTAGCAAACACAAGACCCCACAAAGAAAAAAAGAAAGAGCCAAACAACAACAACAAAAACCAAACAGGCGTGATAGCTCACACCTGTGACCGCAGCTACTTGGAGGTGAAGGATTGTAGTCCAAGGCTGGCCTGGAGAAGGTTGTGAGACCCTATCTGAAAAATGAAGAAAAGCATAAGGGCTGGGGTGTAGCTCAAGTGGTAGACTACTTGCCTAGCAAGCACAAGACCCTGAGTTTAATCTCCAGTACTGCAGGGAGCAAAAATGTCTTTGGAACCAACCAGCAAATTCCTTGTTGCATGCGGTCAAGTCTCCAGAGAACCATCTCATCAGAGGAGGGCGCCCCTGGAAACCAAATGCTTTCTACAGCTCAAGATTTATCAGGATATGTACAAGAGGGACAAACACCAAAGGGCTGGCTGATCAGATAGGTTATACTAGGCTAGCTTGTAGTGACAGTGACATCTTTTTTAATCATCCTAGATAAGCACTTTCGTTCGCCTGTGTGTGTGTGTGTGTGTGTGTGAATGTGTGTGTATGTGTGTGTATGTGTGTGTACACCCAGGGTCTCACATATTCTGGGCAAGCACTCTATCACTTGAACCATGCCCTTTGTCCTTTAGTTTTGTATTTTGTTTCTGAGACAGGTCTCCCTAGCTTTTTTGTTCAGGCTGGCCTCCAATTGAGATCCTCCTGCCTCCCAAGTAACTGCGATTACAGGCATGGTCCACCAACACTCAGCTCCCTTGCCTGTTTTTGTTTGCTTCTGTTATTGTTTTATTTTGCTTTAAACGCACAGGCTTAGCTGGGTGTGGTGGCATAAGCTTGTGATCACAGCACTAGGGAGGCTGAACAAGGAGGATCTGGAATTGGAGGCCAGCCTTGGCTACATGGCGAGTTTGAGGTCAGCCTAAGCTACATAGCAAGACTGTCTCTAAAACAAAGAAATAAAGAAACAAAAAATAAAGAAACAAACAAATTCATGGGTTAAACAGTTAAAACATGAGACATTTCTCCTCACCATAAAACCCAATGAGCTCTTGTCCAAAGTTCTACTTGCCTTATAAGTACACAGATCACCAAGAGGGAGCCTGCAAAGAATTTCCTCCGGCAGGGCCCACTTGCTTTCTGTCGCTGGTGCATTTTTCCACCACATTTGTTACAGCAACGACACATGCAAAAGAAATATCCCACCACAGGCATCAGAATGATAAACAGCAGTCCCAGGAGAGCACACACAATGACACCAATCTCGTAGGAGACTATCTGTAAGTCAAACAAAAAAAAAAATCAGCATACTTTAGACAAACCAGGAAGTAGAACATCCCACAGTGTACACAGTTCACTTTTTTAATCTATTGGCCATTGTGAATTGAGTCTTAACATGTATGGACATATTTTCCTATTTTTTTGGAAAAATCTCCATTTCAGGAAGCAGAGAAGTGAGTTGTTAGAATATGGGACCCACCAGTTACTATCTTTCTCTTAATTCCCAAGAAGATGTACAAGGTAAAGTAGAAAATTGTTTCATTTCAAACTCAAAGGTATTTTGCTATATATAGTGGGATGAATCTTGGCAAGAATGAATAATCTACATATAGAGCGCTTTATATCAGGAAGATAGGACAGGTAGAAGTCATTAAAGACCTGAGTTGGATTGGACTGATGGAATTAGTGACAAATTCATAGTTATAAAGGAATCTGAAATCTTCTAAATTGAGAACAAGGCCTCAGACTTTCCAAGTCAGAAGTGAAACATAAGCCATTCCGTTTTTCCATCCAGGATAACAGCAAGCATCTTGTTAGGTTATTGGGAAAATTTGAGACTATGTGATATTAGAATGTGCCTAATCAACTACCTAGCACAGTGTGGACACTCAATAAATGGTGCCTCCATGTCACATCCACGAGGCTCAGCAGCTGGTGCCTTGGATGGGTCCAGAGTTCCCAAGGATCCAGCCCAACTTCTAGATACAACTATGGGATCTAGGTATGTTTTCATCATCACTGTGATAAGTGAAAATTAATGCAACTGGATGATGGAACTTGATCTTGTAACAATTCCTGCAAACAGCTACTCACATTTCTAAAGACTGGCACAAAATCACAGGTTAATAGTTGGCAAAGAAGAAGGTAGACAGCAATGGCAGCGGCAACCCAGCAGCACAAACACAAGTCGTGAAGCCAAACATTGAGACCAGCTCTTGCATCTGACTCCCCGGTCACCTCACCTCACTTGTGTTCACAGTAATTTTCTTTCATTACCATGAGTTTGGTAAACCACCATGAGAGCCTCAGGGCAGCTCCTGCCTCTAGTCTGTCCGTTGTGCAATACGTCAGGAACCACACGTGTGCAAACTAATCAGTGCCAAGAAGAGCCAGAGCAAATTGTGATTGTTGTCCTTGAAATTTGCAAAACTACAAATTATCTTGTGACTAGGCAATTAGAATTGGTGGTTGACATCTGGCCACCTGATGTAATAGGGCACCCACTAGTCTGGGATCAGCCACCAACTGTCTTCATAAACTAACTACTTCTAAATCAGCTTCTCAGCAGAAAGAACTTTATGACAAGTTGGCTTCTTCTAGTCTAACTGGTTTTTGGAATAGTAGTCTTCCTAGCCTCAATATCTTGTGTCTTGACTTAATTGGCCTGTCACAAGGGGAGTAGACTGACTTTCATCCAGTAACGGTCCTAGAAGAAAACATGAAGTCTTGGCAGAAAAGGTTGGAATTTGAGTCAGTGATATCTCAGCTGGGGACTGCTGATCCCTAACTTGAAAAGTGTTCCGTTATCATGAGCTCCATAAAAGCATATTGTGAGGGACAGAAAATGACATGACTAATGTGAAAATGCCTCTGCCAAGGGCCCAGTCTCAATGAATATTCAATAAATAGGAATTAACTCAATGAGCGAATGCTCACTGTTAAATCAGATGCACGTAGCCCTTGAATATTATCTACTTCTATATTAAGGTTAAAATGCTACCAAGAAAAAAGTCGCTGGATGTTGCTGCATTCCTCAGTTACAGACACACTTTTAACCTTTTTCCCCTGACCATAAAGAGCGACTGCTAGTTGACTCTTTACCCCTTCTTTGAGGACTAATATCAGTGAGCAATTAAGAAACCAGCCAAGGTTGGTGGAATGGCTCAAGTGGTAGCACGCCTGCCTAGCAAGCTGGAGGCCCTGAGTTCAAACCCTGATACCACCAAAACTAATAATAATTAAAAAAGAAACCAACCGAGACACTCCAAACTCTTACCTTGTTTGCAGCAAATATGCTAAATTATTTTTTACTTTTAAAGGAATTGAAAATCCTTTTCGAGCCCCAGGAGACACTGAACTCAAACCCAGAAAAGAAGTAATATTGACGTGTCTATGAGGCACTAATTTAGCTACAAGCACAACTTTTACAATTTACACACAACCTTCCCAGTGTTACTGATTAAATATCAGACAGTATCAGGAGGGAGAATGCATCATTTTAAGAGGTAACTTCTAGGCTAAAGTCTACAGAAGGTCTGGCAGAACATAATTTTTTGCTTTTGGGGACAGGATTTTGCTATGTAGCCTGTGCTAGCCTCAAACTCAGAATCTTCCTAACTCTGTCTCCCAAATAAGGGGATTGCACGTGTGTACAACCATGTCTAGCTCCATAAATTATTTTTTGACACACCAAGATCTTAAGTGCTTTGTAGATTATGCTGAAGATAAGACTAAGAAAGTTAAGGATTCATGCACAAACAAAAATGAAAAGAAAATTTCAAAATTCATCACAGGGAAGACAGAAAGTTCTAACCAAAGTGACACCAGCCACTGACTAAAGACAAAAAGCAACATGAAACAGACAGACAGACAGATAGCAGGCACGAATTTTACCTTCAGAACCAAGACTACATCTTCTGGCTGTGGAAGTCAAGGCAGTTGAAGAGTGTGTGGCAGAAGCCGTAGGCATCAAGAAAACAGATAGAAAAGGTCCCGTGAGTGAAGGGCCACCATGGAGGGCAGTAACGTCCCACAGAGAGAAAAACCAAGGGGGAAAGCATAGCACGAAAGGATTAGAACACTTGAGTGTGCACTGGAGAAACAGTATCTTGAGTAGAGCCAAGTTCTGGAATTTTCATTTGGATTCCTGCAATCTTCTTAAGCAGAATGCTGATCAGTTATGGAAAGAATTAGAGGGAAAGTGGCAAATGCTAACAACGTGAGCTTCCTGAGATAGAGAACCAGGAGCTGCCTAGAGTCCAAGGGTCAAAGGCCACAGCTTCCAAAGTGTCTTCTCTAAAATGAGATCTGCTAGTACCATCCTCTCACTTCATAGCACTCAATGGAGTCCCAACATTTTTCATCCAAGCTCCCCAGTGCGGGTCTGTATAACACAATCTTGGCTTCACATCCCTATTATTCTTGGCAATTTTAAGGTGTCCCCTATCATCAAATGTCCCCAGAGTCACTTGTTCTCTCCCTCCTCACTCTGGTCTTCCCCAAGACCATTATCCTCATCACTCTCCTGATGAAACTCAAGTGTGAGCATGGGTGTTGCCTCCTCCAGGAAGCCAGGGGGCTGCGCATCCCTCTTCACACTTGTCGTTTGACAGCACTTACCCTGATTAGAATTGGATTCCACGTGGCCGTCTCCTACACCATACATCAGGAGACCAAGACCCACGACTGTCACACTCACTGTTCCCTCCCAAGCACCCACAGCAGGACCTGGCACACAAAAATTGTCCAATTGAAATCCAGTAGAAAGCTAGGAAACCAATGAAATAATGGAACGGGAGCCATGACCTCAGACTAACAATTCCTGAACACTGGTCCAGAGATGGGGTGAGGAGTGTGTGATGAGGATGCACCAACCACATTGAAGCAAGAAAATTAAAGCAGATTCACTGAGGTTTCCAGTAAACTAAATCTGCTTAGTTTATAAGACAATCCTTTCGGCGATATGTGTATGGGGGGGAGAAAGTTAAGGTTGTGTGGTAGATTTTAAATGGCCTATGTGGCACTATAAAAGGAGGTGTCTCTGTATCTTTCTCCTGATCACTTCTTTGAAATTTTCTGGTCCAGGAAATCTGAAAGTGTGCAAACTTGTGCCTTTGATGGTAGATCTTCACAGATTTGAAACACCAGTGTTTATGATACTAATAACTTTCTAAATTGTGTCTGTGTGTATGTGTGTGTGTGTGTGTGTGTGTGTGTGTGTATGTATGTATGTGTGTGTGTGTGTGTGTGTATGTGTGTGTGTACGTGTGTGTACGTGTGTGTGTGTTGTGTGTGTGTGTGTACGTGTGTGTATGTATGTGTGTGTGTGTGTGTGTACGTGTGTGTATGTATGTATGTGTGTGTGTGTGTGTGTGTGTGTGTGTTTGTGTGTGTATGGTCCTAGGGGTTGAACTCAGGGCCTTATGCCTGTGGGCAGGCACTCTACCACTTGAGTCAATCCACCAGCTACTTTTACCATGGTAACTACTTTTTCTTTTTTTTTTAACAGCACTGGGGTTTGAATTTACGGCTTTCTAGGCAGGCATTCTTAGCACTTGAGCCACTCCACCAGCCCAACTAGTTACTTTTAAATGAGGCATTAAAAATGCAAGGGGTGGAGGGCAGTTCAGATACCCCTTGGGTCACCCCAGGCATCCCAAAGTGCTTCCAGTGCAAGGGTCCCACTGGCTTGCTACCACTTAGGACACAGGTTCCCAAACTCACCAACCACGAGTTCCTCACAGTGTGTGTTACAAACACTGAGTTCATCTGCTAGAGTGTGTCAGTCAGGAGACTTGAATAAGACCAGGAAACTGTCTTTAGAAACAGCCTAACACGATGGGTACAATTGGGTAAGCTAGGGAAACGGGCCCTAGCTTGGCTATAACGGCTGATTCCACTGGGTGTGGCCAGGCAGAACCTCCATGCGCTATGACACTCAGCTGGTTCTTCTGGGTTAATTTCTCCCATAGGAAGGTCAGCCTGCTCTGACACAGCTGACCAGCTACAAATACCCCCATGGATCTGGCTGCATTTTCACTATTTCCCCTTCCATGCTGACCATCGGGCAGGATGAGCTTCTTATCTGTGCAATGCAGCAGGTTGAACCCCAGTTCTACCACCTAGCAGCTGTGATTCTCTGCTCTAGTGCCCATTGTAATCACGCAGGGAGCTTTTCAACACCACCAATCTCCAGCCAAACCTGAACAATAAAGTCTCTGCGGAGTGGGGCCAGGCATAGCTACCAGTGCTACTCTGAGCCTCAGTTACCCTACCTGCAGAATGGGAACAAGCAGAGGGTGGACCTTATGCAGCTAGTGTAAGAACGATATCAAAAAATGCCAATAAGCACCAGAATCTGGGCATTATTCTGCTCCAAGTGCTTTAAAATACATTAGATGAGTTGATGCTTGGACCAGTGCCTGCCAGAGCAATACTCAATGCATCGTCCTTCTCACCTCAGGCAGGGAGACCTGCCCTGCACTATGCTCTCTCTAAATGTCCTGAGCTTCCCAGAGTGTACTTCTCATGGAAAGGGGAATGTATGTTTTTACTGGCGCCGTGTCATCTTCCTCTGAGAAGATAACCAGTTAAGTCACTTACCTCTCACAGACAAGGAGGTGGGATCCAAACTTGCAGAATACCTTGTGTGATAACCTGACACTTACTAAGGGTCAAAACCACACCCAATAACTTAGCACCAATGAGGCCATTAGTCAGCAGGGACAAGTCTCAAGTCCTGTACCCACTACCAGAGGAAGCACCAAAAAAGGAAAGGAGCCAGGCATGATGGTGCACACCTGTAGTCCCGGTGCTTGGGAGGCTGAGGTGGGTGGATCATGAATTCAAGGCCAGTTGAGCCTGGCTATATAGCAAGGGAGAGAAGGGGAGGGAAAGGTAGAGAGAGAAGAGGAGGATGGGGAGAACAGGAGAAGAAGGGAGGGGAGAGAAGAGGAAGAGGAGAAGGAGGAGGGGAGAGAGAGAGGACAGAGAGGGGAGGGGAATGGAGGGACGGAAGGGAAGGGGAAGAGGAGAGGAGGGGAGGAGGGGAGAAGAGAGAAGAGGACACAGAGACAGGATACAGAGAGAGGACAGAGAGAAAGAGAGAGAGCACAAGGCCCTGAATTCAAACCTCAGTACCCAAAAGATAAATTAAATAAAAATAAAAGTCCTATGTCCAAATACAGTCACACTCTGAGCTTTTTTGGGTAAGGTCTTTAACACAAGAGTTTTGAACAAAATTGAGCTATTTTGGGTAAGGTCTTTAACACAAGAGTTTTGAACAAAATTGAGCTGTAACATCCACGTGGTCTGGCCTCTCTTTACCAATTGTGATTTTTTTAGAGGAAGGCCCCTGCTCTGGCATGTTTATAACCCTACAACGCCTGCTCCCAATGCAGCTCCATAAACATCAACTGAGCAAACACTGCATTAAGCAAAGGAGAGAAAACATCACAAAACCAACCAAACAAAACAAGTCAGGGAAGATCTTGAAGTACTGCTTTTCACTTGCCCTTAAAGTGCAGAAAGGAGATGGTTCTGTGAAGAGGAGTTGTATCTCCCTCCCAAAGTCAAGGCCACTCCTTGGAACAACAGGTTGGCACTTGTGAAACTTTCTGAACTTCCTATGAAGAGTCCATGGAAGAGCCACCAACAGCAGGCCACTGATTCAGCCGCCCAGGGCCTGTCCAGCCAGCAGAGGGCTCACCTCCACAAAGAGCTAATAAAATGAGAGCTGGTAAGACTTGGCACCCAGACCACTCACCTGGACAGTCCTCCCCCGTGTAACTGCACTGTGTGGGCACGGACACCTGGTGTCTGCCCAGGCCCTGGAGCCCTCAGCACGTCAGCGTGCCTCTCAGACCTCTCACTGGGGGCTTTGTAAATCTGTGTTCGAAAGCTTTCTTGGAAACATGGAAGATCACAAGTTCTTGGGAATTAGCACTATTTAACCTATGCCTCGTGAGCCTTGGTGTGTACATACCTCAGCCAGCCTACTGGTCCCATGGCTAACATGGAGGCTGGCATTTGGCATGGTTTCCCAGGGCTCCTCTGCAGAACAGGTGGTATCCCTCGCAGGGGAAAGGACTGCCCTTCCTTCCCCATGTCACAGCCAGTGCTCCCTATCCCTCCCAAATAAAGAATTTGCCTTCAGTCTTTGACTCAGGGGCTACCTAGGGCAGGGGAGGGGGGACCCAACCTCATACAACCAGCATCTATCATACTAAATCTAACCAGAAAGTTCCTCTCCAAAGGTACCTTTGCTTCTTTGGTGTCTACACTTAACTAAACCCCTTCTCCTTGGGTAACTGCAAAAAGCGTGGTCCAACTCCACATCTAAAAAGGGCAGGATTCGCTTCACTCATGAGGATTCAGTTCATTTGTTCACCTTATCCACACCCAGTGTTTCTTAATCCAGGTTCCCCAGGTGTCTAGGAGCTCCAAAACTAATGCCAATCCAAGCTTTGAGGGGTGTCCCACTAAATCCTACCACGGATAGGGGCAGGCCAGTGCCAGCTCACACTTGCCAGGCTCCTCAGAGTCACACTGGGGTCTCTGAACCTCATCTTTCAAGACCTGAATCTAGATGAAGCTCTGCCCCCATCCCATTCATTCCCTGATGGAACCAGGGGGCATTCAGGGTGTCAGCTGCTAATGGCGTGCTAGTTTTTCATATGACTAGAAAAGCAGCAGTCATTTTATTCTGCACAGGGGTACAAGTCAACATGGAAAACTGTTTGGAAGATACAAATGAAGCCAATGGCACCAAAATGAAAACTGCTCTCCACGGTCCTGGGGAAGGCTGTGCGTGCGAGGCGTGCAAGGCAATATAGATCCTTCATCATTTCCAGTCTTCCCTGTTGCCAGATATAAATGGCTTTTAGAGAAGCTTTCCTGTTTGGCTTCTACATTCGCTTTTTTGATGAGTATCATACCATTGTAAAATGAGAACACGATGAGGCCTGGGCAAGAGATAGCTGCCCCTGTCTACCACCCCCCAACCAGGAACACTTACACTCAGATTTTGTATGCTCACCAGTGAGGTTGTCTGCCATGTATGTTCTTATTGTTACCTTGGTAACCATCTTCATAGCAGAAGAGGAATAGAACAGTTTGTCTTACTTACCTTGCTGAGGAAGGAGGACGTGACAAATTTTTATCCTACATTCAATGCAACACATATTTGTCTGTGTGTTTTCTGGACCCCACACTTACAAACCAAAATCAAAAGAGCATTCTTCTGTGTAAGTAGTCAGTCATAGGTGCAAATGGAGGAAATCCACAACCCACGGGTGGCAGGAGGAGACACGTAAAGTGACTTGATACTTCCTGAGACTTCCGTCCTCTACACCTGTGATCAGGCTCCAACTGGCCTTTCTTCCTCTTGGGCTGACATGCTTGCCTCTCTCATACCTGATCTGTGTGTTCATGTGTCCCCAGCCTGGGACAGATATAAACAGTGCCACCTTCTCCCTGCTGGGGGCTCTTATCCTTCCTACATCAAGCCCCAAAGTCACTTCTCCTTGGAAAACCTTCTGGTCAGAATTAACTGTTTTTCTCTATGATTCTCTGCTGTATTTATTTCCTGGTTCCTTCCTTCTTTGAACCATCTGGTCCATCCCTACCACACGGGATCTTCCTCATCTCCACTTCCTTCTTATTCAAGCCAAGCACACATTCAGAGAGCAGGTACACAATAAATATTATTTAAATGTGAAGCTACTTTTTAACAAACTATCTTGGAAAGCCAAGTGCACTGTCATTGTTTCTAGAGATTCTCAAACAATTCTGCTTAGGGAGTTCTCCCTCACTTTGCTAAAATAAAGAAACTTACTATTTCTTTGGGCAAGTTTTACCTTTTAGACTTTTAGCATGAAGCTTAAAAGATTTTCCTCAAATACCTTTTCGAAATTTCTGTTGTTCAAATGGGATCTATAGGTAGGTTAATACTCATAAAGGTTACTAGTCAAAAAGGTTCCTGAAATGATGGCTGTTTAAAGATTTGTTTCTTCTCAAGTCAGTTAAGACTTTTCTCTTACATGTTATTTTTAATAACAAAAACATCAACAAGACGTTGCTCTCATTCTCACTCTAAAGATGACCAGTTTTCAATCTATTGAAAGTGTACTCCTTTCCTAATAAACTTTGCTATCACTTTCCCATAAAAGCAAAATAAAATAAAAAATAAAAAAAAAACAAATTACCTTGTCATAATCCACTGAGGAATTTGCCTTCTTCTGTATGATTCTTCTGATAGTCTCTGGGGAAAAGCCACAAAATAGCACTATTATTTTTTTCAGTAAGAATATAAAGTGCATATATAGAAAAAAGCACATATCAATGTGCTTATAAATTATTATACATATATATAGCATTATAATTTTACTCCTTTTTTTTGCAGTACTGGGGTTTTGAACTCAGGGCCTACACCTTGAGTCACTCTGCCATCTCTTTTCTGTTATGGATATTTTGGAGATTTGGTCTTGTGAACTATTTGCCTGGCCTGGCTTTGTACTGTGATCCTCCTGATCTCTGCCTCCTAAGTAGCTAGGATTATAGGCGAGAGCCGCTGGTACTAGGCTCCTTTTTCTTTTCTTTTTTTTTTTTTTAAGGCAGTACTGCTGTTTGAATTTAGGGCCTTCCACCACAGATAGCCCACTAATGATCATTGCTGAAACATTGCACTGAAATTGCTCATTTTTATTTGGAACCACAAACACAATTGTTCAGTAACTCTACATCCTTCGTGATGGTAGTACTGGGGCTTGAACTCTGGGCCTTGCAATTGCTAGGCAGGTGCTCTACCACTTGAGCCAGACCTCCACCCCCCCCAAGAGCTTCCAATCTCTAAACTGTTCATGAAAAGCCTAAAATACTATGCAAAATTGCACTTTTCCATACACATTCAAATGCTCACATAGCTATGGGACCAAAAAAGGGTGAGGTGCCTCTTCTTCTGAGCCACCAGTGGCCCAGGTAGTGAGGGACTTTCTAAAGAGTCATACAGCAACTGATAGGGAGACAGAGGAGGCCAGGTCTCCCTTCTGTCCAGGTTCCTTCCCACTTCACTGCCCCATCTTCTCTCCCCCAGGCCCAGGCTTCTGCAGTGCTCTGTTTGTACCCCTCACACTGAAGAGTGCCACTATGGGGACAAAAGAAAGCCCATAGTGAGTGAATCCTCTCTTAAAATTATGGCATTCAGATTTACACTCTGGAAAACAAAACAAGCCATTCCCAATAGAGCTTTCTAGAAACCAACTTCATCCTGTACACAGAAGAGACCTGAGCAGATGTTCAAAGATTAGGTCACAGGAACCGGGCTTTTCAAACCAGTAGGGACCCAGGGTCCTGCGTGCTCTTCCACAGTCCCTAGGCGGCTGCCCAGGAACAACAGGGACCAGGAGCTGCCTCACACCACAGGCTGCTTCCTCCTGAAGCCAGCTCAGCTTTAGTCGATCTTACAGATTCGGCTTCTGTATGAATTTCACTATATGAGAAGTAGTAGAATGGATTAAAGAAAAAATTTTAAGAAGAATCTAGTAATTAAAATATAATTACACAGTCATGCTCATAACGTCATGATCTAGGGTCTTGATTTAGTTTAAAGTTAGAAGGAGGACTGTGGCTTTAGCTCAGTGCTTGCCTAGCATGCACGAGGAGGCCCTGGGTTCAATCCCCAGCATAACAAAGATAAAGCAGGGAAGAGGTGGAAAGGAGTCTGAGCCCTATCACTACTCAGTGTCTATTCTCTGGGGAAGAGCTAACTACCAGCTGGATGTGGTGGCTCACACCTGCAATCTCAGCTACTTGGGAGATGGAGATCATGAATAATCTTGGTTCAAAGCCAGTCCAGGCAAAAAATTCAAGAGATCCCATCTGAACAAATAACTGGGCCTATGATCCCAGCTGCAAAGGAGGCCTAGGTAGGAGGATCAAAGTCCAATGCCATCCTGGGCAAAAATGTGAGACCCTATCTAAAAAACAACCTAAAGCAAAAAGGGTGAAGGTGTGGCTCACGTGGTACAGTGCTTGTGTAGCAAGTGCAGAGCCCTGAGTTCAAATCCCAGTGCCACCCCCCAAAAGACAAAATCCTCTTCTGCAAAACAGGATGACGGAAGTCTCCATTCTGAAAGGATGGCTTAGGGGTAAGGGAGACACCTCTATAGATGAAAAGGCATGCTGGGACTCAGGGGCACTGTGGTTATTATTCAATGAAGAGATTTAGAAAACGTAGCCTACGGAATGTTGTGTGTGAAGTGTAGTGTGCAAGACTGCTATTTTGGCAGTTAAAAAGTTTTCAACTTTTCATTTGAACATTAATCAAACTAAACTAAACCAAAACACTGCCTGTGAACCCAGGCCCACAAAGATGGGTCCTCACTGGACTATGCCAAGAGATCTCCAAGAGTAGTCAGGGCTCCCTGGGAGGCCCCAAGATGTGTTCAGGATGTCCCTGAGGTTGGAAAATGTCATTTCACTGTGTTGACATTTGTTTAAAAAAAAAAAGCAATAGATGGCTGCTTCTATACACTGACTGCACAGTTAAAAAGGACACATTAAATGATGAAGTCCTTTGCACTATTTTTTTTTTTTTGCAGTACTGGGGTTTGAACTCAGGGCCTCATGCTTGCTAGGCAGACTGCTTGAGCCATTCCACCAGCTTGCACCAGGAATATTCTTGACAAAGCATTAAAAGATATTTTTTACTCAACCCTAATTTGTGAGTGCACATTTTTTCATTATTCTGGGTAAGAAAATGAGAAGTCTGCATGAAGCTCTTCTCGCACACCAAAGAATGATGGCCTCATGTCTCAAGATAAAGCATCTGTGCCAGTGGTTCAGTCGTGAGCTAAACTAGCTACATTTTTCATGAGACACCATCTTTTTCCTTGAAAGAAAGACTAAGACTAGGACCATACCTGCCTAACACATGACACCTTGAATTCAAAACCCAGTTGCTCCACACATTAAAAAAAAAAAAAGTAAGGAAGGAAGAAAGAAGGGAGGGAGGGAAGGAAGAAGGGAAGGGAGGGAGAAAAGGAGGAAAGGAGGGAAGGGATGAAAAAAGGAAGGAAGAAAGGAAGGAAAGAAGGAAGGAAGGAAGGAAAGAGAAAAGAGATTAAACCACTGTTAATTTGACTTGAGTATCTGGCAGCCATTTTTTTCTCTAAAAATGCAGGAAGTGGAGCCTGCAACTTTAAGCAAGCCACTAATAGCCAATGATAAAATTGAGTTTCAAGCAAAAATTTAGAATTTTGCAAACTTCACTTCTACAGCGATCAGGTTGACAACATCCCAATATTAAGCTTTCCTGGTGTGACCAGTAGGGCTATTACAGAATTTTTTGATAAAATGAAACACATGAACAGTGGACTGAAAAACTCACTGAATCAGTATTTTCCAGATGATTAATGCAAGATGTCACAAAATCCTGCCTGGGTAAAGAACACGCAAAATTGAAGACAGACCAGGGAATTCTAACCTATCAAAGTCTGAACAATGAATCCAGATTTCACACTGAAAATAACCTTTAAAAAAAACTAGTACTTGCGCAGTTTTGGTGTAGTATCAAAGAAAAATATCTACAATTATCTGAAGAGATGACTAAATAGCCCTTCTTTACAGCTATGGTCTCTGTGTGACCAGACGTACTCGTTATTCTTCAACCAAAACCATCTAGTGCAACAGAGTGAATTCAGATATAGATACGAGAAGCCAGCTGACCTCCACTATGCCAGATGTCAAGAAGATTTGCACAAACATAGAAGTCAATCTCATTCTTCTCTCTCTTACTATCATTATTTTTAAGTGAATTAACAAATAAATGTTAGCATCTTTTCCATCTTAACATAGAATCTGGCAAAGGTCGATAGGTGCAAATAAATTGTCTTTGGGGACCTGAATAATTTTTAAGAGTTGGAGGAGATTTGAGATCTACAAAGTGTGAGAACTTCTGGACACATTCCACCCTTCCGCCATAGAGCTTACTTTGGGATTCAGCCAACCATCTAGTGTCAGTCGGTGACAGGCCCAAGCCTTGGCTCTTTGAAGGAGAAATGGTCACTATACTCACCCTGTCTCTCTCCCCCAGATTGGTAGTAGAGGATGTGGGTCTGAAGCCACTGCCACAATCCTCCAAGCACAGGGCCAGAGTCTAAGAATGACATCAACATGGGAGAACTGTGCCAAACAGTCCTGGGGACGCCATGGGAGTTCCACTTTGAGGATATTTTTCTAGAGGACACACCCTGAGAAGGAGGCAGGGGTGCAAAATCGGGCCCAGAAGGAGCAGTTTCACTAAGACATTTCTGTTCCTTACTGGCTTTTAATGCATACATCAGTTCTGGCTTGAGCTGGGCCGAGTGGAACTCCTGCCCCATAACGTTCACTTGGCAAAATGAATAGACTTCAAAAACCACTGTCATGTGCAGTTGCCATTCAGATTTGCACTGAGCTTAAGTGCTCTCGGAAAGATTTTGCTGATGGGATTCATAAGTCGGCTGCCTTGGTCTCCTGTGTTTGCTTGGAAATGTGATTAATTAAGAGCACGACAGTGTTAGGTGTCTCTGCAGAGAGACATGGAGCCCCTCTTAAACACACATGGATCAGGGGTCCCTCACGTGGCTCTGTGCTAAGGTCTTAATTGTTCGCTTGACACTGATCAAAGTGAGAGAGCTCAGATTTAGTTTTATAAACAGAAAATAATGATATTCAAGTTCAATTTAGAGACTTGCAAACACCCAAATTTACAAATGTACAATGAATTTTAGTAATTAAAAATTATTTAAAACATACTATAGATCAGAGCACGGTGGGATACACCTGTGACCCCAACACTGGGGAGGCTGGGGCAGGAGGTTCGAGAACAGCCTTGGCTACATAGCCAAGCAAAACCAAACCAAACCAAATCAAACACAACACAACCATAATTGTTTCTTTCCAGGTACAAAACCATTTCTACAGGCACTTAAAAAAAAAAAAGAAAAAAGTTGGACAACTTGCCTCAAATTGTTGCCCAAATTCCTGAGTGATCAAGAGGCAGGAAGGCAAACCAAGTAGAACACCCAACAAGTACAGATAAAACACAAATAATAAGCTACACCAACATGTCAGCGTCTTGCACCTCCACCCGGGGACCCTCGGCGCTGTGCTCTTTGCCCCTCAGTAAGTGGCACAGGATGTCATTTATCCACGTGTGGTCTCTTCTTCTGTGGTCCACAGATCGACTCTATTCCCCAGGCCCCTTGCACTTAGGCAGGA